AAGTGAGCCGGGAGTTGATTGAAGTAGTCAAGGGACAAAAAGAGTTTGCAACACTAGGGAAACTGAAGTCGTTCCAATATGTGTCTGGCATACCGGGGATGGCGTATAATCCCTTCGTGAATGAAGAAGCCAGGGAAGCGTACTTCGACTATGAGCAAGTCATAGTACTCAATTTCTGGGTTGAACGTATTAAAGAAACTGGGATGCTGATGGTGGAACAACCCAAGCTGGGAATTATTTTGGAAGAACGAGTGGTCGAACCCTCGGTTCTCGAGCTAAAGGGGCAAGTGAGTTTTGATTGTGGTTCTTGGGACGGTCCCTTGAAAACCAGTCTAGTGACGATGTGGGAACTCATGAAGCCTTCTTGGTGCCCTCATCCTAATGCCGGTTTAATCTGGGACATGACGGCGGATATCACGTTAGACCTAGATGATGACGCGAGTTTACATGATCTGGCCATGATACATCATCTGCTGGCCATGAGATTGACGAAGCGGAACAGCAACCCATCCACGGAGCTGTCCGAGGAAGGTCCATCGAGTAATTGGTTGAAGCAAGGCACATGCTTGGCTCAACACAGTGGGATGGAAGGACATGTTTGTAACCTGGGACATTGCCTGGTTACGCTGAGCGAGCAACATCGGCAACTGGCACGATTGTACGGAAGATTGAGCATGTCGGATAAAAGTGGTATGGAGTTGGTCGCGGACTGTCATGGGGTGACGGACGTAAATTTGATCACAGCCTTGGGATTTTGCAGCATGACGAGTTCGATTGAATCGCTTGAGCGCCTGGAGCGTGCCCATGAGCTAGTGACGTCCCTCAGCGTGGAAGTATTCTCTGGGGCATTGCAGACAGAGCAGAAGATCGGAGGCTGGAGAGAAGCTCTGGAGAACGAGATGAATCTGAAAGATAGTGAGGCCTATCTTAAACCGACTGGTTCAAAGTATCTGGTGGGTTCAAGCGCCGCACCATATTGCAGTAGTAGATATCCTACACACATGGTGGTGATGGATGCGAGGACACAGCAGGTGTTGATTGATCAACTTTTCTCTGTGCCAAAGTGCGTGAGGTTGGCCAGGATGTCGGAGAGGTCACATGATTTGTTGGCAAAGATCTTTCGGGCAGTCCCGAAGAGATCTGAAGGCGAGTTGCAAGATGTGGTGGGTGAAGAGCTTCTGAGATTGAGTGGAGGCAATGTGAGTGAGTTCCAGAAACAGAAAGCGAGTGGAGCGTTACCCACTGAATTCCCCACAATAGAAGAAAAAGACGACTTACACAGAATTCTGATGGAGGTGGAACCGTTGCTGGGAGCCTCAGGGTATCGGACCCGAAGGAACATAATGAGAACCCATGGGGAGTATCCTTGCCACTGCTTGGCGCAGACGTGGTGGTACCCCAAACGCGGGAATCTAGTGCTAGTATGGGACGTGGAGGAGTTGTACTCTACAGGGTTGCCCGATCAGAATCAACAGGTGTCACTCGTGGTGGTTAGTGCCATGCTGGCAGTGAGATGGCTGGAGGCTAACGCGGACACAAGTCAGCAGGAGACGGCCGTGCCGACTCCTGAGCAGCTGAGCAACGTGAAGATGAGTCGTGAATTGGATCTTTTCAGAACCACCTGCAAGGCTCTGAGGATACCTAAAGCCATTGAAAGAATATGGTCAAGGCAAAGATTGATGCCTTGCTTCCGTGCAGTGATGACATCATGGATGTATGAACGCGCGAAGCGTCACATGTCGAGGAACACGGAAGCCTATCAATCTTTCCAGCTAGATATAGGACCAGGAGCCTATAAGAGAGCATTCCTGACGCACAGAAACGTGGTCACCACAGCGGTGAAGCGGGTAGCTGGAGCGCCTTGTGTTACTGAAGATGAGAAGAAAGAGGTCTTAAGAGCTGACCTAGAACGAAACGTGAGCCTATGTCTTCACAACAGCTTTTGCAGGAACCGGGAGCAGAAGGTGAATGTGGACTTGCTACCTTGTTGCAAACCGAGGCTGTTGGAGCAGGAGAGTTGGGGCACGGCCCGCAACTCCATAGACATGCTGGAGAAAGTGTTGGAAGACAGCGAAGATCAAGATGGAGAAGTGATGGAATGAAGATGACCAAAGAAGAGAAGGGAAGGAGAAAAACTTGATTGTCTTTGTGTGCTAAAACTTAAACCAATCAACCAAGTTTTGATTATTGAACTTGTGAAACTTTTTGTTTTGATCTAGTTTGGTCAAACCAAACTTTGAAAATGTTGCAATTGTTAAAATTGTAGAAATTCTTGATTTTAGTTATGGCTATTTATGTATGTTTATGAGGAATCTAGGTGAGTATATTTACCTATTTATTCACGACTGAAGTTTTTAACCTGTGTAAGACACAAATTCACTGTGTGGCGACATGGTGAGTTTGAGTAAACTCGCTCGAGAAGGGTGGGTAACTCAATAACTTTCCTAGCCACAGAGTTTCTTAGTTTTAATATTGAAAGGACCGCATAAATGACTGATTATACTTGGTGAGTAGTGTTAAGTTAATTTTAACGGGTGCGTGGCCGTGCCACGTCCCACTTTTTAATCACAAAGAGCGAAAAGAAGTTTTATGGCAAGACGACGTAAGTAGTCAGAAAAGAAATTTTATCTAAGACACTCCTCATGGTGCAAATTTTGTGAAAATGTTGAAAGGCAGTGAGATGTAGTACGATGCCATTTGTGAACACGTAGTGAGTTAAGGTGGGGTGGATAAATTTCATTTTCTTATGCGATTTGTAAGATTGATTACAGAAAACTGGATAACTACTTGACGATAACCCGGTGTTATGCGATCAATAGGGACATTGATGGGGACTGTCCGGGGAGTGTGTGCCATTCTGCCAGATGGCACAGCACAACCTTCCGGCGACGTAAAAAAGAACGACTAAAGGCCTTATTGACGAAAAAGTATTGCAAAGGAGGGTCAGAATATTCTGGAATATTTATTTTTAAAAATTCGATTTTCAAGTTGATATTTCTCAGAAATACGAAAAACGGCCATTTTGAGCCAAAAAAGTGACAAAAATAAGAACAACGACAGAAATTGTGAATAACAGTCGTACCAGAGACGGAAAATACGAAGCCTCTTATCGTGGCAACAACGCACGATAAGACACTTGTCAACAGATATTGGCGGAGAAGGAGGCTTCAGTGGGGGAAGAAATATACCACGGGACCCTCCTGGGACACAAATTGGAAGAGATAAGAGCGTTATCTCAGGAATATTACGGGAGCGGAGGCTTGGTCCCCCAGAGACTGTTCTATGTGAAGGGACTGTATAAACTAACTTTATAGCTACTGGAATGTCATAGATCTCTTAATTAACACCGTTATTGTTTGATATTTCAGAAAATGAGTAGCTAGAATAAGGAAAGGGTCAATCCATCTCCAATGGATTTAATATAAAACTGTCACACAAAAATATGTTAAAAGAGGTTGTTCGAGCCGTGTTTTTAATGACAATCACGTAGTCTGAGGATCCGAGACTCAGCTATGTGGTTGTGTTCGCATGTAAACGAAAGCTGATCAAAAGTCGTTGGACTGATGGCCTAAAAATGGTAACTTTTTACTTTGCCCTAGACAGACCAGAAAATCAACTGGCAAGGTCGAGACGGTGAAAAGCGAGTAGGATTAAGGTAACTGACGCCTGCCAGTCGTTAATAGGTACTTTTCCTACGCTCCGTCGCTGTGTAGTATTTGGGCGAATGTTACATAAAAGATATAATTTTAAAGGCTACTACACATATAAAATTATGTAATGGGAATTCGCAAAAAAGTGCGGATTCCACTTACATTTTGCGGATTCTACTTACAATTTGCGGATTCCACTTACAGTTGCGGATTCCGCAACAGCTCACTTTAACGATAAAAATGTTTTATCATTTGTTTGTCGATTCCACAAACTGTTCTGGATTCCGCAAATACAGTTGCGGATTCCGCAAATTCGTCTATTTTCGAGCGATTTTGAGCGGTACAATGATTTTGGAATTTGTTCGTGGAATCCAAAATAGCATAGATGATAAAAAAAAGTAGCAATGCTGCGGATTCCGCGACATATCTGATTTTGGCCTACAATCTGATTCCGCTTACAATGCAGAGAATGCACAGTTTGGCCTCGTAATGACTACTCAAATTTTTGTAGTTATTGAGATTTGACGTTTTTAGTTTTTTTATTAGAAACATTTCGGAAAAAAATTGAAAATTTTCACATAATATGAAATTCACAACCATTTCGTTGGGTATTGCGAGGGTACTCAGGAATTGCAAATCTTGCGTCCAAGTGCGACTGCGTAAATGCATTTAGTTTCCGAGATGTGAAGTTTTTTTGATTTTTCAAAAGTTTTCAAAGAACTTACTAATATTTAAAAAATTTCAAACTCCTTTTTTGATGAAGAGACAACCTTATTGTCAGCGTACACCCAGGCGTCGCGAATCTTGTCTCCAAATATGAATGTTCAATTCATTTTAGTTTTCCAGATTTGGCGTTTTTTTTTGGATTTTTTTAATTTTTTTTTTCGGGAAACAGGTATCAAAAAATCACGAAATTTGAAATTGGCAACCCTATAGTAGGGTGCTCTCAGTGGTTGTAAAGGTGGCCTCCAAATTTCCCCTGAGGCCCTTTAAGTTTTCGAGATGACGATTTTATGGTTTTTAAATTTGGAAGTAAAAAAATATATAAAATTTGAAATTACCAGCCCTGTAATTGGGTGCTGTTAGAGCATACTAAAAGGCTGTAGATCTTGTTTACAGTATTTTTTATTTCTAATGAGTTCTCAAAAATTCGTAGCACCGGAGGTGCGTTAAACTCTAGTTGAAATTAAAGTGGACGCGAGTTCCGCCATGCAGATTTTATTATCAACTGTCTGCTGCCTATGTTAAAGTTATCTGGCGAAGGGTTGTACTATCACTTCATGTAACTTTGTTAGATTAATTTCCATTAATTTGATGCTTTTACATCAGTTATTAACCATTTTTCAGAAATTATGAATCTGAACTTTCCATTTAAGAAAAACACCAAAACATTCCGACCTCGGAAGGAAATACCGAAAGGTTCCAATCAACACGTTCTCCTAGAGCACGCCGCGAAAACTTTGGGAACGGGAAATCTCAAATTAGCTGTTATGTTACCAGAAGGTGAAGATTTGAACGAATGGATAGCTGTGAATGTTGTGGATTTCTTCAATCAAATCAACATGCTTTACGGGACATTGGTTGACCATTGTAGTGATTTTTCATGTCCGAAAATGTCAGCAGGTGCTAAATATGAATATCAATGGTCTGATGAACGTAATAAAAAGCCTATCGCCTGCAGTGCTCCAAAATATATGGACTACTTGATGACTTGGGTGCAATCTCAGTTAGACAATGAAGCCAAGTTTCCATCAAAAATTGGTGTTCCGTTTCCCAAAAATTTCCAAGCAGAAGCGAAAAAAATTCTGAGGCGCTTGTTTAGAGTATACGCACACATATACTATCATCACTTTGAGACTGTGCTGGAATTGCAGGAAGAGCCGCATCTTAATACTTCGTTCAAACACTTTGTGTACTTTGTCTCTGAGTTCAACCTTGTCGACAAAAAAGAGTTGGCTCCTCTGGCGGATTTGATTTTGAAGCTCGTTCCTGATTGCGCTCTATAATTCATCAAAAGTGGGCCGACTATAATTCTATCACGGGGCTGCCCCTTTAAAGTGTTAATAATGATTCTTTGAATATTTTTGATACCTTAGATTGCTTAGAAATAATTTAACGTGTTTTAAAACATGAGCAATTTTATTAATGTGACGATTGATTTATGCTGTTTTCAATTTTTGTAACTGTTTCTATCCCGTAGAGTAGAGGGTAGTTTGCATATAATTTTATTTTGCGAAAGTTTCAATTTTGCTTGAAATTTATTGCTCTTCGTTATGAATTGAACCTTAGTTTGAAATGAACCCAAATTGATATCGTCCAAATAATTCGTTTTTGAATTCGGAGTGATATAACCTGTAAGGTTTTAGAAAAACTTTAATATGAAAATATACATTGTTCACAATTCGAGAACATACATTTTCACAATTTTTTGCGGTTATATTTTCAGAGCAGCAAAGATGTATATGCCCACGAAGACCATCCGAGAAATCCATCATGCTCTGTTTAAAGACGGAGTCCTCTGTGCTAAGAAATGCGAAATTTCCGTTCATCCAGACCTAAAACTTCCCAACTTGTACGTCATCAAGTGCATGGAGAGTTTGCGATCTAGGGGATACGTGAAGGAACAGTTCGCTTGGAGACACTATTACTGGTTCCTTACTAACGAGGGTATTGAGTATTTGAGAGAGCGACTGAACCTACCCCAGGAAGTTGTTCCAGCTACTCTTATGAAGGCGCAACAGAGTGCTCAAGCTGCTGCTCCTCCGACTCCCGCGAAGCCCGGAGGTTTCGGACGAGGCCGACCTCTAGGAAATTAAAACGGAAGAAGATCAGATCATAGATCTAAGGAACCGAACTTTTCGACGTATCCTTAAAACTATGATATTGGCCTAATGCGATGTTTTTCAGTGATGTGAGTTAATGCTGTAATTCATTGTTTACACCGTTTTTTTTATCAAAAAGTTTTTTTTTGATGACAAAGAGATCTGTTCTAGCCACTCTTCCCTACACCCCCTCAATAGGCGTGGCTTTCTATACTCTGTTCGAATACTCAACTTGTTCATCATGGAAAGTTTTTCTTAGTTATGACCCATTGTTAATGCCATTTTTTCTCTTATATAGGTCTTGATGATATTTTTTCAGGCTAAGGTCTTTTCAGGATTAGCTGTAAAACCAATGAATGACTGCAATATCAAAAATGGCTTTTTAATTACCAGCAGAGTTGAAAAAACTACTAATTGATTCAATTTTCTCTAAATGGAATAACATAAATAAAAAGTGGAAATCATAAACAATTCTTGGAATTAAAAGAGTTTTCGCGTGACATTTTTTTCTTCGATAGTTGAAAAGCTTCCAAGTTAATTTTTTTTTCTGTTTCCTTGTTCCACTGTTTGTTGGATAAGTTTTCTTAAAAATTCAATTTAATCTGCTGGATCACAGGTTCCTAATACAAGCCTCATATTGCGACATTTTCAGTTTGGTAAAAGGTTTTTAAGCGGGCTTGCGTTTCAGGGCGGGGCGATGTAAGAATTTCGAGAGTCAAAGCTTTATAGCTATTTTCTTACGAGAAGAATTTAAGCTTCGGCGCAACTCGTGGCCGCCCAAATATTTTCGGCTTACTGACCGCATATACACTTTGCCTTTATGCTAATTTATTATGACAGTTGTTTCATTTTACTTCAAAATGAAATTCATTTGCCGAGACGCATACAGAAGACTTTTTAGTAGAAGCTGATTTTTTTGTTCAAAAATTTTTTTTAGCTTGGTGGCTTTTTTCTTATCTTAGGTATATTGGCTTGCCATGCTATTTTTGTGATGTATCTTATTGCTCATTTTATGCTTTTTGCTCAGCAACCGGCTATCCTTGTTACTTATTTACATCGTGTAGTTTTTTTTTTCGTTTGTTGACGCTTAAATTTATAAATTGGCAGTTGGAATCATGGTTTCTTTCCAAATCATTGGCTGAATAGCAACATAATTGTGCTCTCAAGAAAATAAAATAGAAGAAACGTGAATGATCTGCGTTTCAGAAATGGCTGGCAAATTTCACATTTGTTCCAACCACTCCCCTGTTTTCACTTTTTTTGAGCAAGTGTGGCACCATTTCGAAACCGTATCTGTCGTGATTCGGAAGCCGAAAAAAAAACAACTTAGTTGTCTCAAAGTTGACAAAAACTGGTCTGAATTTTTTCGTTTTTCTGACTAATAATTTTTCAAACGGAAAATTTCAGTTTGAGTTTCCAATCTTCCTATCTTGATCCATTCTTGAATGGCTCATTAAAAAAGCAGTTTTCTCTTTCACTAACAAAAAGTCACAATAAAACATTTAAAAATAAAAAAAATCGTTTTTTTTTGCCTAAGTTTCGGAACATTCTGTGCTTACTTGCTCAGCAATCGGCTTTTCGATTTTTTTTTTTTGAAATATTGAGTTCATGTTTTTTTTTGCGTTGAATAAGCCAGCAATGATTTTCTTAAGTTTTTAAAACTTTTGGCTACTTGATAGAGGTTTCTTGCAAAATTTTAGCTACCTAGGACTTACAGGGACCGGTGTTTACTAGACTGTGCGGAGATTTGAGCTTTACACCAATGTAATGGCATGCAATTCTGTCATCAATTACTTGCTCCTACGCGAACCTTTTATTGACAGTTTTTAGTTTCAATTTTAAGTGTATTACCAATCGGTTGAGTTTGAAGGATTGAAATTTTGCCCACCCGTTTCGGCTTTAAATTATCCTCATTCAAAAGAGAGAACATTGAATTTAGAAACAGGCAATATTTATGCATTGTGCTCAATCAAGTTGAGTAGAATGGTCCTGGTAAAGACAATATTTTGTTAGTCGTTTAGTTTCAAAAAATTTGGGCTGAGATGATATTTGAGCCAATTTAATTTTTTTTAAAAATGGGCTGTTGATCCGACCACGAAGTCGGAAAGAAAAATGAAAATTTTGGTTACATGTCTTACTTAATTTTTTTGAACGTAATATGAGGTGCCACAAATAATCGTCATCCAGATGCGAGTGATATACAGTAATAAACAATTTTCATTCGGAAATCTATCGACTTTGAAAGAATTAAAATTTTGTCAAAAAGAACTGGTTTGAAAATTTTACTGTTAGACATTGAGAGCGAGTAGAGCGGAAAACTTATCATTTACCTTAATGTTCTATTGGTCTTTGCTTAATCCAACAACAAACTTGCTCTTAGTGCAAATAACGAATACATTGATAACTGATTGCGATGAAAAAAGATATAACTGGTTTTTTTGATGTTCCTACATGACAAATTTTGTTCTGGATAGATTTTTTAAACAATAAACAAATTATTCCCTTCTTGAAAAAAAAATCTCTTATATTTACGCAAGCAAAGCGTAAATGTGTTCATTTTGAAAGTGTTCATTTGACCAATAACCAGCTATTAAGTACAGCGAATGCTAAGGATATTAACACAGACATCATAAAACAAATAGCATTTTAGCTTCAAGGTATCATGGATCTGTAGCGTAGAGGTAGGAAAGGAGACCCGCAACAGAATGAGAGGGTTCAAACCTAGGCAGGGTACGATGTTCTTAATGAAATTTTTTGTATACTAGTTAAAATGTGTAAGCTCTATAAATTGAGGCATGATTGTTGTTAAGTTTCTTTTTTAAATTGACTGGTACTGCTAATGCGTCATAATTGACTTGCGTCACTTAGCAATTATGTAGACTCATAATTGGCTTGCGTCACTTAAGTACTTTTGTAGACTCAAAGTTTTTCTCATACAATTTTTCCCAGTAGCGTTATCGGTCATATTTCTGCTTGTCTATGTGAAATGCAACTTCGCCTCTGGGTAAAAATATTACCCGTGCCAAAACAAGTGTCTTGTAATCGGGAACAAGAGTTTCCCGTTAACAATTTTGTTTTACAAAGTATCAATTTGTTTTTATTGCATGTTATCAACTTCGCACTTGGTCTAGAGGTACCGCTGTTGCCTTCGCACCCAAAGGCAAGGGTTTCAAGTCCCAACCGAGCCTTGTTTTTTTTTCAGTATGTTTGCGGTTAAAAAAAATTTCCGGTAAAACTAACTTAATGGATTTCGGTTTGTCGACCTAATTGCCTTATCACGGATTTTTTTTTCACTCTAAAGAAGTATCTTGGTAGTTGCAAATGTTGTTCATTGTAGTTTCAGGAGAGACTTGAAACTTTTACAGCTTTTTACAAAATCTTTGGTTTTTGTCTAAATAGGTGTCTGCTCAAAAATTGTCGGCTTTGCTTCCATTTTGTAAAATTTGTTCCCTCGCTAATTTAACTTTGAAGTCGTTTTGCTTAGCATGTTTGCCTAAAATCTGTTGTCAGAGAAACTAAACTTTTTGCAAGAAGTGAAAAATTTTTCCTAAGCGTCTCTAAAAACCCAAATCCCATAGATTGTCATAAAACTTGTTTTTATCAAACAGATTGTATTTTATTTTTTTTAGACGCTGTGGATTTTTTTCAGTCCAGTAGTCTCTGTTCACTTTACCTCACTGCATGCAGCCTTTGAAAAAATTCGTTCGGAGAATATTTGACCCATATTCTGTTTTTTTTTTGTTTTCTAAAAAATTACCCTCTCAAATCCAAGATTTTAGTTTCAATAAACATAACGGATTCAAGAAGATCCCTTGCATAAGCGGCTACGCCTAAGTTTATTTACATTTTAAAATTTGGCCCTCCAAAAAATCACTTTTTGATTTTTGACCGTTTTTTGAAACTTTTTAGTTTTCTCGAAAACTGCCCTCTCATAGTAGCGGGCTTAGAGAGAGGGCACGAGAACGGTCGCCCCACTCTCAGTAATTGAATTCCCTGACTACCCAAGGGGTTCCTCTTTTGGTGCTATTTTAAGACCTCCAATTTTTTGGCCAAAACAGGATTTTTTTTTTGTGATTTTAGAGGGGCCGGTAAATCAATTTGGGTTTTTTCATACGTGACTACGACCATCTTTTTTCTTTGACACAATTTATGGCCCTCGGAAAAGTCAAAGTATTGATTCTTTGACCATTTTTTTAAACTTTATTTAAAAATTTTTCTGAACTAGCCTCACAATCTGAGTTTCTGGATTCAATCGAAATATGAGGCTGCGTGTTATTTGCATCAGCGGCTACGCTTTTATTTGTTTACGCTTTGATTCTCGGAAATGTGATTTTTTTATTTGACGACAGTTTTTGGATTTTTCTCAATTATTCTACCAAATTTGGTTTCGTGGGTTTAATCGAAACAATAAGTTGTTGAAAACCTAATTTTGAAATTACCTACTTTGTTTGGCATCAGTATAGCGAATTCAAAAATGTCAAAGGATATCTCAGCGTTACTAAGATTCGCTTTGCTTTTGTGTAAAAAAACGAACGTTGAAAAACAAAAAAAAACAATCAAAGTCTATTTTAATGAATTTTGTGGGGTGTATATAGGGAACGGTTGAAAAGAAAAAACCAGCGAAAAGTGATAGAAAAATTTTATTAAACTATTAGTAGTTAAACTCGAATCGTATCTAATTTTTTATTGCCAGTTTGAAAAAATCAAAAATATATATATGCTTTATTTTTGCGGGCTTGGGTTGATGCATGCTTTACAAGTTGACCACTTCGATCATAATTTCCTTGAAAATATTTTTATAGCCAAGAACCGTTCAAAAAAAACTTGAGACGATTATTACCGGGAAATCATTAGTTTCTTAAATGGAATGAGTCTTGTTGTTTCATTTTTGATTTCATATCTCTATCACTATTGACAATATAGAAAAATACCTTTTTCTGACTTGAGGCGCCAGAAAACAGGCTTTTGTAGACTAATAGGGTCCTCCCAATCTAATTAATTGTAAATGAATAGATTTTAATCGTAAAATTATTTTTTTCTTAAATTTCTATAAAAGTTAATTTGTTTTTTAAGAGTATTGAACGTAGTGAAGACTCTTATATAGGTCTAGCTGATTTTTTTGGGAAAAAGTCTCAAAATGTTGCAATAACTACAGATGTGCATTCATACACTTTAATGCATTTATGAATGCAATTAGTTATATATGACTTTCAGAGTTCAATTGAAATTCATCTGCTAAAATTAACGTAAATAGCACTCTCAAAATATAAATAGGAAATGGCTCGTAAAAACGTGAACAATTTCTAGTTCCGAAATATTTTTTAGATTTCCAGCGGAATAAAAACTTTATCTATTCATCCAGTTTTCTTAAATTGGGTTAGTGTTATCAAAACAGCGCATATCATTAATTGTTCTAGAAGTTCAAAGAGCTTAAAGGGTATCTATTTTTTTCTTCGTAATTCGAAAATTGAGATTTTTCAACAAAAGTCAGTGTTTTTTTCCTGTTTACTTGCGTTCATTACTCTTTTCCATGTTTTTTGTTTTTGATAAATCTTGAAAGATATAACTGTAGCCCAAACCCAATAAAGAAATTTCGAGTTATTTCAGTTTATATCCTCTCCCCGCGCACAAAATTGATAATGCTTTAAAAATTATTCATCTATTTTTTGATAATATTTCCGTTTACTGCGGCCTGAGCCTTCTGTCCTACATTCACAGCAATCGGCTAGGTAGTTGTTTGATTGGCACAGATTTCGTCCTATTTATTTTGTAATTAACAGATTTCGTCCCATACAGATTTCGCCCCATATCCAACATCCTATCATCTCATATCCAAATTTCTGGGACGAAGTCTGTGTACGCTTTGAAATGGGACGAAATCTGTTGAAATTAAAATGGGACGAGATCTGTCATGGCACAAATCTGTCGCAGCCAGTTGTATACTCTCCGTGGTAGGTAGTTGTCTTGAACTAAAAAAAATGTTGGTTTTTATTTTTTTTATTTTAGCAGTATTAAACAGATAAATCGTCCTTTACAATTTATGAGATTACTATTCGAATATTTCTTTAGTCAGATTTCTTAGCTTTACTTCAGATTGGTAAGGAGGTAAGACTACATGAGTAGTATATTGCACTATAAGTGAGTTTAAATCTCCACTTGTGGGTTTATTTGCACCATTTCACTTTTTGCCTGCTGGCGGTTATACATTTAGCATGATTGATGGATGAAACAATAAGAACAACAACATTGAGATAAACATAGTAAACAGCCAGGAAGATATACGACAGAAATCACATGGAACTGCACTTGTCTTTTTAAGTGCAGAGTTTGTTTGTGACCAGTACGATGATGATGATTTATGATCGGTAAACGGATAGTAAACAAATTGTTTATCTTTGCCCACGACTTAACTTGAACAACTCGTTTGTCACTGCGTTGGGTAATTTTCATCATAAATAAATCATTAATACACACTCACACCAATAGATAGATAGGTTGATAAACAGATAGATGGAAGTTGGTAGGTTACACGGATGCGATAACATTTAATTGAAGAAAGCTACCATCCCTCAAGTGTTTGGTGACGTAACATTTGTGTGAATCCTATGTTTCGCCTTTGTCTTTTATCCAAACACCATTATTTCTGCAAATCATTTAAATACGACCCTCAAATTGACAAATTATTGCTTCAGTTGCGTGGAAATCCAAGAAAAACTAATCGCGAAGATGAGTTAGACGTCACCAAACACCCCCCCCCCCATTGTTTGAAGGAGAAAGGTTTGACATTAAGTTTAATATAGACGGGACTTTAACTATCCCCATAGGGTACCTAAGAGTTTTTTTTTAATTTTAAATATGAAATTATTTGTTTTTGAAAACATTAATGTAAGTGCCACCCCAATGATCAACTGGTTAAGCGGTTAAGCTTATGTAAACTTTGTATCTAAGGGGGATAGTTAGGCTGCAAGGGGGATAGTTAAAACGAGCCGACGGATGATAGTTACAGAAGACTAACTGCACTTCGGGAGAAGAGAAATTTACCTACTATGAATTGACATGAAGTTGATTGCTGCAACACCCAAGTTCATTGCAAATTTGATTCTGCAAATTTGATTTTGATTCATTGCAAATTTATTTCACTTTTTTTTTGTTCATGATGATTTTAAAATGGCAGGATTTGTTGTAGTAAAGAAGACAGGTTATTTTGGGAATATTTTGGGAGTTATTTTGAATATTGTAATGAACTTGGCATTGAATGACACATATAGTCTAAAATTGAAGGCTAAGCCGATGGTTTAATTATAAGCTGCTTGGATTTGACAAAATGAAAACATGAAATTGAATACTGCAATATTATTACGAGTTACAATGAAGGAGAAAAACTAATCAAATCTTAGTCGTAAAAATGAGATATGAAATTTAAAATATTTCCAAAAATAAATATTTTTAAGTAATTTTTGCCACTTAAGCGATATTGAAATAGCTGAAATCAATTTATTATTTTTTGCAAATAGCAACTCAGTTTTATTTTCTTTTGCTTTTCTCAGATTTTTGTTTTCAGCCGACCGAATTTTTATGGAATAATTTCTACAAAGTTCAAAATAAATTGGTCTAGCTTAGGAAGCACATTATTAGGTTTCAACATTGGAAACGTGATAGGAACTGACAAATGCCAGGTACAAGTAACAAGAGATTAATAGAATAGAGTACACTATTCAAAACTTGATAATTACCATTATTCAAATACGAAATTACAAATAGATATTTTTAGAGTCTTCAAATAAACAGTAGAAATGATTGTAGATTAAGCAGGAATTTCTTTAATATTCAAAATAAGATTTGATGACATTTTTACAGAGGTTATTTCACTCGATTGTTATTTAATCAACCGAATTTCAGTTCAAAAACTCTGCGTAATCATTTCAAGGTTTTTCTGTTTTTGCTCTGCATCATTATCTTGACAATAATCTTTACCCATCGGAGATCTAAAAAGTCTCGGCGTCGAAACTTGAAAGCCAATTAGGAGACATTGTTTTGTCTGTTTTTTTTTCGTGATTCAGTAGGGTGTGAACCTGTTTAGTCCTGCAGACGCAGCACCCGCAACGCCCCCAGCCGCCGCAGCTGCTCGTGACAAAGTTGCCTAAAAGATTAAAAAGAATGTTAAACTGGGTCTTTAAAAAACAACGAAAGTGGCTGTTTATTATAGCGTAGCTGTTAATTCCGAGTTCTTTCAAAAAGGTAAAAAAAACAACAATAGTGTAACGTGGTTTTTTCTTCGAAACAGATCAGTTAGGGTTATTTTATAAGATTCTTTAAAAGATGATGCATCTTTTTTTAAGATTTCAGAAGAAGCAAATACTTGCAAGATAACCCTCAATTTCAAGAATCTTGCAAAATAACCACCCTCTGTTGACTACGGAAATACTTTTGTTGCCCGGCATTTAATCTTTTATAGCCAGGGAGTATTTTGTCCGCTTTCAGTTCGTGGACCCAGTTTTGAGGGAAGAAATAAGCAGGCAGCTTTTTTATTTCGGTCAATTCTTTCGGTTCTTTTGATTTCATTGATTGGAACAAATGAATGACCCACAAAAAGAGATATGAACAGACCATAAATTGGATCAGTGATTCATTGCGCTGCATCTGGCCAACATTTTGGGGTATTGACTTGTAAAAAAGAATTAGTTGCATATGAACAGAAGTGATATAGGTATCCAGTTTTTCTTCAGGCAATTTACCCGTTTGTAATCCGTACTTTTGAAGGCTGAATTTTGAATGAAGTTGATTTTATTAGCATCACTAAATCGCGTCTGGTAATCTAGTTAAATCCTTTTATTTTCAGACCTTTGACAGTTCTGATTTTTAAATTCTGTCTGACTAGTGTATTTTCATCCCGGCTAATTCAATTATGCTCATCAGTGCACATATGGGTAGTGGCTTTATCGCTGGGATGAGGAAATTTGATCAGCCCTAAATTCGTGCTTAGGTTACTAAAAAGGAATCAAGGCATGAAAATTGTATTCATTTACGCAAAAAGTAAAGACAGCAGGGGTACTTGAATGTACTGAAAATATATAAAAGACTAAGGATAGCTGGTTGCTGCGGTTGCTTTTTTACTTTACAGTTAGTGTCGTTTTTAGTGAGTGGTGTGATTCGAGAAGCATACGCTCCTGTAGAAAATAAGTGAATTAGGCAGGCGCGGATCTAGGAATTTCTCGAGGGTGGGGGGGGGGGGGGGTTTGGGGCTGATTTTCAAAAATTTTTTTTGACTTTTTGTTAGGTCGATCAAATTGATTTTCTGAGCTCTCCCAAATCACTAAAGACCTTAATTTGATCAAAATTTCTGCGCGGCAGGCAAATTTTTGAAAATAATGCGTTTTTAGGCACTTTTTCGAAAATTTTGTCCAAAAAATCGCGTTTTTTCGGCGCGCTCTCCCCCCTCAAAGTTTGTATAGATTGGCGCCTTTAGCAAAATTTTAAGGTCAGTCAGCCAAACGGATATCTCAAAATAGTACAAAGGGGGGACCCTTTGGATCGGCAGTGGGTCGAATGCCCACCCCGTTCCCCCCTAAATCCGCCACTGGAATTAAGCATTATCGACAAATTTATCAACAAAATGATTTTTAATAAAAAAAATGAAAAAATCTTACAAAATTCCAATTTTTTTTTCTAACTTTTAGCGCAATAGTTTTTTAGAACACCTTTTTGCCAAATAACAGCTAAATGAAACATCCAAACTAGTTTTTTACGGTAAAATCAAGTTTTTTTATCCTAAAAGTCTAAAGACATTTTCCATATTAAAAGCGTTACTCGATCGCGTTGCTCTTTCGAAGTGAGGCTAAATCTCACTCGAAAGAATTCAAACCAGTTTTTTTCGACACTGGGAAATTTTTTTGAATTTTTTTAATCTCGTTCGAATCGCGATTGAAAAGGATTAAATATGATCTGCTACTCGACCCATATTCCGATGATTATTTATCGTTCCTGATTTTGTGGAAAACGAAAAAAAAAACTAAAGCAAACACGAGGAACAATAGCACCAGAAACACGTTTTTTTTTAAAATGAAAAGCCCTAAATTTTTGTTTTCATGTTCGAACTGTTCTAAAATGAGCCTTTAAAATTTTGAGTTCAAAGCCTGAACTAGTGTTTTGACACCGGTGAGTACAGTGTTATACTGCAAATCTAGATTCTCACGTTGCGAGTCTGGAAACAAGAAATTTTATAAATTTTGAGTTCTGATTATGTACAAGTTGAATATTCAACAGTCAAAATGAGGATGCGAAAAATGCTTTTGTTGAATAACTGCATATTTTCTTTGACGAATTTTTGATGAGAAAAAAAAAACAAGTTGCGTTGAGTATATAACCAAAACCTCATTAATTTTTAGTGTTTGTTTTTTTTCGATCTTTAATTTTGGACGGAGAAAGATGCTGACAAGAAAGCATGTTTAAATGGATTGAAGCATTGCATTTTTGTATGCCATCTTTTTACAGTTCGTGGAAAATAATAAGTGTAACTTGACACACAACTTGAGGTAATTCCATCTTATCTTAGTAACTAATTTTTACGTCTGAAAAAGCCTCACGCGACATACAGTCGGAGAATCATGATAATTAAAACTCCGTTAATGAACAGTATCTTCGAAATGCGAACATTACGGCTTACTGTAGCGCATCTTTGGAACAATTAGTCAAATGAAAACACATCTGTTAAACTTTCGAAAATTGATTTGCTTACATAGTCATTATGAAAGTAGTGATGATGAAGGTTGCTTAAGCTGAGCGATTGCTACAAAATCAGAAACACGCAAACTTAAAGACATGTACTTCGATTGCGAAATGTTTAGAGAAACCAAGTTTTGTCAAAAACAAGAAATTCTTATAAAACAAAAATAACTTTCACAGATTGAATTATGCTTTGTTGACTTTTTTTCCTTGAGTCTTATCCTTTTGAAACACACGCAACCATCGGCTGCAGAGAAATTGTGTATAATTTTTGCAGATGCAATAGCAGACTATTTTGATAATGGATAGCTCAAGCACTTATTAAATGTGAAAGGCACTTTGAGGAGTTTCAAGTAGCGGAAGAGGTGGATTAGCTTATTATATTTTTTTGGGAACGTTAATTTCAGTAATGGAACTTATATATCTTAACAGCGAGTCAATAACTGTTACCGAAATCTCGAGGGATGGCAAAAGGTCGAATTTTTCAAAATTTTGCTAAATTTACATGTCCGAAGCATTTTTGAGATGTAAGACTCACCCAAATGCAAATGGCTTTGAATCAAAACTTCTGAAAACTAATTGTCATTATAAACAAGGATAGTTGGTCCTGTGCTAGTAGCACAGAATGTTCCGACCAGTCTTAAAAAAATTAAAAATAATTTTTTCAAATTAGTGTCATTTTTTCGCTGTGTTCTAAGGGAATCTGAGCGGCGGAAAAGTAGAGCTTAGGCAATTTCATCAGTCTTTGCAAAATAAGCAAAATGGAAAACAATTTTTGAAGACAGATAACAAGAAAAACAAAAAAAAATCAAAAAAAAAACTTTTTTTCTTCAATTTTTCAAAACTTTTTTCCAAACTTTTGAAGTTTTTGATTGCTAAGACGAAGCTAAAAACTAACTTCATTTGAGAAAAATAAGTTTTCAAAGTTTAAATTAAGCATAAATAGGCTAATATAAACCTGCTCACTTGTTCAAAATTCGACGAAAACACAAAAACTTCAAACCGGTTTTTCTCGACAATGGGAAATTTTTTTTTGAAATTTAATGTCGTTCGAATCACGGTTGAAAGGGCTTTGATTTGGTATATCGCTGAACCCAGTCCAATGGTTGTTTGTGGTATTTGATTTAGCGTAGAAAACAAAAAGAAAAAACTACAAGGATAGCCGGTTACTGTGCAAGTAGCACAGAATGTTCCGATCAAAGTCTATAGAAAACTACGGTTTATAAAGTTTTATTGTATTGTTTTCTTTACTTGGTGTGATTAAAGGATCTGACGTGAAATTCCAATTTAGACATATTAGACAGTCATAGTAAAATAGGCAAACTGGACAAAGTTTTTGCAGAAAAATGACTAGAAAAACAAAACAAAATTAAAAAAAATTATTTGAAATTTTTTGCAGGAATTTTTTGAAGTTTTTGGTTCAGATAAGAAAGCTAAAAAACTCCAAAAACTAATTTTACCTGCTTAAAGTTAAGTTTTAAAGTCTTAAATTAGGCATAATTTAGCTGTTGTAGGCATAATTAGGCATAATTCAGCTGCTCGCTTGCATTATTCGCTCAAAAATTTCAAACCAGTTTTACTTGACACAGGGAAAATTTTTGGAATGTGGTTTGAATCACGATTCGCTTTAATGTGATATATGACTCAAACCAGTCTGGTGATTAATTGTGGTAGCTGATTTTGCGTGGAAAAAAACTCAAACACAGCCGAATACAACGTTCCTCTCCATTTTCCATGAAGGAACAAAAAAAGCGAATGCCATTAATTTTATCGCAGCAACTTTAACATCGGAGCGCGTTTTGAAGTTGCTGCAATAATTTTGAATTACGTGGAACATCGTTGCTAAACTGCTGGAATTGTTTATCCCGAGCTCTTTTCAGAGCGGGAACAACTTACTGGTTTTTATGAAACAGACCGTTGCTTACAAAAGTTATCTGAACTAAAAAACATCTAATATCAAGAAAATGCATTTAAACAAGGATAGCCGGTTACTGTGCAAGTAGCACAGAATTTTCCGACCATAGTCTTCAGAAAACTACAAGAAAGTATTTATTTTTTCAAAATTAGTGTAGTTTTTTTGCTTGGTGTGAATAAAGGATCTGATATCAGGGTATCAGACACTCATAAAATTCAGGGTATCAGACACTCATAAAACTTTGGTCAAATTGGAGAAAAAGTTTTTGTAGAAATATGACTAGAAAAACTAATTAAAATTAAAAAAAAAATTTTTAAATGTTTTGCAGAAAAATTTTGAACTCTTTTTGAAGTTTTTTGTTCCCAAAATGCAGCTTAAAAACTCCAACAACTAGTTTATTTGCTTAGAGTTAGGTTTAAAGGTCTTAAAACAGGCTTAATTTAGCTTGTAAGCCTGATCGCTTGCTTTATTCGCTCGAATTAAGACAAAAAAAAATCAAAAATTTCAAACCAGTTTTTCTCGACTCTGGGAAAACTTTTTGGATTTTTCTTATTTTTTAATGTGGTTCGAGTCACAATTGAAACGGCTTTAATATGATGTATCACGCAACCCAGTCTGAGGATTATTTGTCGTACCTGATTTTGCGTAGAAAACAAAATGAAAAAAAAAACTAAAACACACCCGAATACAAAGTTCCTCCCCATTTTCAATGGTCGGAACAACAAGATTTTTAATGACTAGGATGTAAACTAACTACCAATTTTTAAATTTATTGGAAAATATAGCTATTAAAGTAGCTAGTTAAACATTTTTTAAATAAGATTTTCACTGATAAGGATGTAACCTAACTACCTGTTTTCTCATTTATTTTATGTTTTTAGATCAGTTTTAAAAGTTTGTTAGATAAATTTTTTTGTGTGGTATTTTAAATGTGTGTGGTTGTTTATGATTGAGTTTTTGGTCATGAAGTTTAAATTATACGCACATAAGTTGCGACTGGGTTTAGAGCTGCCAAGTAGGGGTCGATGTTAGCATTATTATGGTGGCTGACTCCATTGGCCCCGTTGGGTAGACCGTTATATCCGGCTGCTGCTAGCTGGAACTGCATCGAAGCCGCAGCCCCAGCCGGACCCCCGTTTCCACCCGGCGACCCATTTGCTGCGGGCGAGTTGTGAGCACTGAAAAACAGCAGCGATTATTTAAAAATGCGTTTTATTTTTGTCAGTCTTCTCAAAAATTGTTTACGTAGTTTGATTCTGTAAGTAAGGCGGTGATTAAGGTTGATCCGGAATCATCTCAGTGTAAAGAAATTGTAAAATTGCGAAATTTTTGTCTAAAGCAGAGAAAGGGGCAATTTTGTTTAATTAGGGTGTTTCTCAAAACAAAATTAAATTGGTCGAGCTAAATTAATCAATAAATTATTCTATTTTAACAAATCCTCCTACTTAGCTCAAACCCAAAAATGCAATCTGTTGCGGAAACTGAAAACTATATTTTTTTCGCAAAAGGTTGAACAAGTATCTATTTTTGTCGCTTTGATTCTAATACCTTGATGATAATAATCGGTTACAGTTTATGCCCAAAATTAATTCTGAAACTAAGCGATCAGACAAAAATGAGTAATCTTTAAAAGCAGCAGTTTTGAAGCATGTGAAGAAATGTTTCTTTTTTCTTTCTTGTTTCAAGTAACCGGAACAAACATTTTAGCCACAGGTTTTACTGAAGGCTTGCGTCAGTCTGCGTCAGATAGGAAATCCATTCAAAGATAAAATTTACCCTGATCTAAATTTGGACATTTTCCTTATTCATTGATTTTAATTAACACCGGCGGCGCTGAAAATACGGGCCATTATTTTTTAAGACGCTTGAAGTGAAAGATAGAAGACAACCTTTGCATTCAAATCCTTTGCTTTTTGCAGCTGATGGCTTCTTAAAGCAAGTGGCTTGAAATCTTGAATGACTTTTCTGGGCTTTCATCACAGAGTGAAAATCACAGAATGCTTTCTAAGCAGCGCCATTCCATTACTCTGATAAGAAAAGAGATGAACTGCTTTTTTATATCTGCATCTGAGCAATCAGAGATGAGCTATCTTTTCTTTCAAGCTAGAAGGTTATTCAAATCGCATGGCTTAAATTTTTAAAACAAATCTATAGATTTTTTGGTGCCGATAATAAGCTCCATAAAGCATGATGAACACAACGCAAAGCGCCAATTTGAATGGGCCCAGATTTTTCTGCTCGCTTAATTGAAAATTTTGAAGAAACAATTATTGCTTAATTAATAATCATTTTTCCTCAAAATTGAGCAGTTGATTAGAAAGAAAAAATTATAATCAAAATCTTTAAAAATTCGTATCGTATTTTATCGAGAATTTATCTTCTCTTCACTCTTGCGACAAGCAAGGGTTTTGTTATCGAGTAATACACTTTTTTTTTGTAAAAATTTTAGAGCTAAATAAAGGACACTAGACCATTAAAAAGTTTATAGATATAAGTTAATTATTTCGTCGGCTTTAATGATTTTGACCCAATTTTTATCGGCTTTTTGAATTTTTTTGTAGATTTCGAACCAATTTTGCACCAATTTTCTTTAAATTTTTGGTAGATTTTTTTGTTTATTTTTCTCTGCCTTGTCGAGAGTTTACATGTAGTCTATGGCTTCCTGGTTTTTATACACGCCAAAACTTTATCTAAGAACAAAAAAAATTGTGCATTAAATTTTCAATTTTTTCGAGAGCAAGATTTCTGAATCAATTTTCTTGTTCTATAAGTGCGTGAAATTAATTGGTTTTAGTGTGTTTTAGGTTAAATTGGTTTTACTTAAAATCAATTCAAGTTGATGGCATAGCGTTTTCATATGTCGAAATGTTTTTGAAAGTTTTAGTTATTGCTTAGAAATTTTGATTTTTTTGCAATTTTGTTTCGACTGTTTTGTCTACAAAAGAATGTAGCATGGGTCGCACGGAGTCCAGGAATTTGGTTTTGATTGGCTGATTTTTTTTTTAAAGCAGTTTCACCGTTTTTATGCCTTTGTACCCTAAGGCCAGGAATTTGAGACCCGGTCAGACCTTGTTTTTTTTTAGTATCTAATCAACTACTGAATTTTTTTCCGGTAAAAACTGAATTGTCAAACTCGTGTGTCTGCTCAAGTTTTGTCGACCTAGTTGCCACATCACATCTGTTGCTTGTACTGTAAGCAATTTTCATTGAAGCTGCAAGTGCAGGTAGTTTTTAAATGTAGTTTCAGGGAGACTTAAAATTTTTAAATTTCAAAAATCTTAACTTTTTTTCGGCTCAGCGGATTTCTGCTCAAAGACTATCGGCTTAGTTGTTTTATCACATATTTTGTTGTTTTGTAAGCGACTTTCAAGGAAGTTGCAAATGCAAGTATTGTTCAAGGTAGTTTCAGGGGTGACTCACAAATTCTTGAGTTTTTCAAAAAAAAATTTCGGATTCAATTATGTCTGCTCTAAGATTGTCGGATTTGTTTTCGCCTCGTTAATTTTCTTCAGTTTCTAATTTAATATTCGATTGTCTGGCATCTTTACCTAAAACGAACTTCAAATTTAAACAAAGTTTGATTTAATTGAGGAATTTTTGAATCTCGATTTTTACCAAATTTTTTTCTTATCGTTTCCATCTATTGTTCATGCGCAAAAAAAAAGAACGAAGTTCGTGCAACCCGAATTTTTCTTCTGTTTTAAGTAATTGTTTTCAATAAAATGCAAAAATGTTTTTCTTCATTTTTAAGATGACAATTTCTTGAGGAGAATTCTTTCAAAGTCTTAACTTTTTGTAAGCTAAAAGGATGAGACAATATATTTTTGTTAACTTTTTATTGCAAGTGGCATTTTAGTTTTTTTATCGCATCTGTATTTTATTTTAAATATTTTTAATTTGTACAAACCAATCCAAAATGTTTTGAATTTTGTTGCCATGATAACCGGGTTGGGAACATTCTTTGTTACTTTCTCGGCAAACTTCTGCTCCGGTTGTTTTTAACATTCTAAATTTGTACCAAACAATTTGATTTTTTAATGCATTTTTAGTCCATGATAGTTGTGTTGCGAACATTCTGTGATACTTTTTCGACAACCGGCTGCTTTTAAAAAATATATTTAACAAGACTGCTCTTATCAGGGCAAAGCCTTGAATGTTCCGACTGCCTTTTAAGGTTTATGGGGCAGTAACATTAAAAAAATCAATTGTAATAAAATAAAATGAAATTAAGATTTTTGTGAAAATCCTCCCCCCACACGCCATATAAAGTTCAAAAAGGTAGATTTCACGCCTTGTAACGAATCAATTATGGCAAATAAGCTTCTTTCAAGCAATTTGGAACAACTTCTACGGCGGAATAAATATCCGCTTACGCGTTAATAGCGCGTTAATTTTTCCGAAATTGGCCAAAAGGCAACCTTTAAACCCCCATAACTTTACGAAAAATAATCACAGTTGAAATATCCTTTGATTGAAGTAAGGCTCAGGGCAACAATACCTTTTGAATGATATAAAAAATTCCGTTAAAAATGGCTAGTTAAAAGTCGAAACTTGTCTGAAGAAAAAAAACCACCCGAGCACAAATATTCCGTTACTTTTGTCACGAAAGTCGGAACAAAAAAGTAAGTGGGACTCACCCAGTTATGTAGGATGTGGGTTGGATCATCTGCTGCAGTTGTGCGGCCGAGATGGAGGCAGCAGCAGCCTGCGGGTTGAAAGTCAACTGGGCTGCGGCGGGCGAGCGAGAGTTGAGAAGGGCAGCCGCTTTGTAAGGGTCATTGACCGCATTCAAGGCTGCTGCATTGAGTGCGAGAGTGTAGAATGCACTGGCATCAGCAGTGGCAGCCGGAGAATAAATGAGTCCTCTGAAGCAACCGAAAGGCTCAACGTTTGCAGGAATGCTTAAAAAACCATTTCTATCGGCTTTTGTCAATACAAAGTACCAGTGATACTAAGTTCATAGACTAGCCGTATGTTTTTTTATATTCCTGGGTTGACCTACATACATAAAGCTGCTAAACGTAAACCTACATAAAACTTGAACTTCAAAACTGTTTTAAAGACTTTTAAAACAAATTTTTTGTCTGCTCAACGATTTTGAAGCTTTCTGATCATTATCAAAAAAAAATATTTTCGTTTTTTGGGTGACAAATTGCAGTTGATCGTACAATTTTCATTTGCAATTGGCTTAGATGAAGTTTCTAACCCATGTGATGACGCGTATCCGGGCGGAGTTGCTGGATTGGACCCCAGTTGGAACTGGGTCTGCAGCTGTGGCTGCTGTCTGCCCATAGCTGCCGCCAGATTGTTGGCCATAGCGGCCGCTACCGCGTTGTTGGCCGCCAGGGCGTTCAGAGGACGTCCTCCGTTTGGTCTCAGGTTCCTGTTCACGCCTCCGAGGAGTGCCATAGTTAGTGCAGGGTTGCTAGCTGAGAAGTCTTTCTTTTTGGTCATGACTCGAGGAGTTGCATTGTTTACCTGCAAAACGAATAGTTATTTAAATTGGGGCGTAATTCAATTTTTTGAGTTGATAAAGCTCATAAATTGACGATATTATAAGGAAGAATTGCGTGCTCGCCGCCATTCTGAGCAAGAATTCGTTCGGTTTTATTCTAATCCAGAAAATCTATTCTATTCTATTCTATTCCATATTCTATCTCTTCCTTATTTTTTCGAAATCATCATAATAACAATTTTGTTTTGAAGATGGAACAGTTTGCTCATAATTTATTTTAAAAATATCCAACAAAATCTCATCTTGGAAGAGCACCAAAAAGGCCAGTTAGGTATCTTCATGTTTTTGGACCATGAATGTTAAATTTTAGGAGTGTTAGCGTTTTTGGGCCAAAAAAACTTAGCTTGAACACTCACCTCTATTTTGCGTCCTTCCACAATGGTGCCATGTAGTGCTTCTCTCGCCCTGTCTGCGTCCGAACAATTCGTATACGTCACAAAGCCGAAACCCTAAAATGAAAACATACAGATTTTCTAAATACTGTTTCCTGAATTTTGGAACGGCATCTAAGTTCGGTTTTGTATCTTTTTTCTTTCATGGAACTTGTATTTTAGGGTTTTCAGGTGTCTGAATTCGCTTTTTTATCCAAATGAAATTTTCGAATCTTTGTGCTATCTTTCGTATCTCTAGAATCGCGTCGGACAGTCGCTGTTTCTAGCGTATTGGCGTGGTAAAATAGGTAATTTTAAGTTACTCGTCCAAAATTTGCAAATCAAAAGAATGTGAATTTGTGAATGTAAGTGAAAACTCTCGCCTTTAATTGGTTTAATTATTAAAGTATACTTAGATTTTTGCTTTTAATCATTAAGGTGACGTTGCTGACTTTTTTGGGTTGAATAATTAAAATCACCCTTGGCTAAATTTCATCCTTTTTTCTCAAAGTTTGAAAGCAGCGCAACCCGAAGTAACTCCCTCCTTAAAAATTCTTGGCTTTTTGTGCTGTGCTTCAAATTTCTGCAAGCAATTGTGAAGACAGAACACGCATACTGCAACACACTATCTAACGTCACAGTCCAACATCGGCGAAGATGACAAGAACCGTGTATCTTTAGTAGTAAAACTCTCTATTCTCGATACGAATGAATCAAAAACAAGAACAAAACAATTACTTTCCAGAAAAAAACAAGGAAATGTTGTTGGTTGGTTTGTTTCTTCTTTTCTATGATTGGTCTTTTTTAAGCTTGACCAGAGTTTTGAACGATGCTAACGTGTTAAGCTCACCTAAAAGGCAGAAGCGAGCTAGAAGCTCCTTGATGTATTTTTACGACATCCCTTTTTGGCTGATCAACCTCAAAATTTTTCTTTAGGCGCCATCGGTGCCAATATAGCTAATTTTGAGGAGGCGTGTGCCAAAAAAAATGCAATTTTTTGGTCATTTTTTAAAAAAGTTCTCAAAGCGTCATTTTTAGCCTGTTTGTTAAACCTGCAAAATAGATTTATTATAGTATTTTTCGAAAGCTCGGAAAATCAAAGTAATCCACTTAAGACTTTTTCAAACCTCCGTTAAGTTAAGTGCATATTCGTTAAGTTATAGAACTTCTTGTTTGGTATTCTCGTCTGATATTCTCGAATAGATGTTTCTGTGTTTATTCGTTAAGTTGTAGAAATGATTTATGTATTATGTGACTATGACCTATCCGCGAAGTAGCTATGGCCTAGGTACCACGCAATGTTTCTTCTCCTCGGAAAGTCAGGTACCACATATAGTTGCCAGATGGGGTCAAGTGATTACTCATATTCAAACTCTTTCAAAAGGGTTGAAAAAACTAAAAGAGTTGTCTCAGTTGCCACAAAAATTGGTATCGATTTTTGCGCTCTATCTTTAAGCAGGTGAATGTTTATCTTTAAAAACATTCACATACAATTTTTTTCAGATATTTTCCATATTTAGGCTAACATTGTCAAAAGTGAAGCTCAATTTCATTTTATTGCTCTTTTTATGGCAAAAAATGGTTCAATATTACAGTACCCTTTTTTATTTTCATTTTTTCTTCGGTTTTTTTTATCCGTCGATAAAATCTGTCAACTTGGTTCTCTCTCTTGTTTCCCCTACAATTAGCAAGAGTATTGCGGTCAGGTACTAGAATTTTTTCAGTTAAAAACTTTGCCTTCATGACTACTCTTTCTCAGCTTAGCATGTTAGCTTAAAGAAGTTCTGGCTACTGATTCGGCCCATTTGGTGTAGACATGACGCCCATGCTTCCGACGATAAAAACGTTGTGTTAGAGCCTGGCGAGAACCTGTACTTTTCGTTCCGACCATTTCAAAAATGTGGAGGAACTTTGTAATCGGGTGGGTTGTAGTTTTTGTTTTCCATACAAAATCAGGTACCCCAAAAATTATCGGAATGGGTCGAGTGATATATCATACTAAAGCCCTTTTAGTCTTGATTTGAAGGACATTCAAAATTTTCCGAAACTTTTTTCCAGTGTCGACAAAAACTGGTTTGAAATTTTTAATATTTCGTCTAATTTCGAGCGCTTAAAGCGAATGAGCATGGAGCATGCCTATTTATGCTTATTTTAGGCCGTTCACAAAAGCTTATTTATGCTGAATTTTAATTAACTTTAGTTTCACTCGAGAATTATTAGTTTTTTGAGTGTCATTAACGCCATTATGAGAATCAAAATTTTCAAAAACTCAAAAAGTTTCTGCAGAGACTTGAAAAAATTACCAGCTAGATTTTTATGATTTTTTTGTTTTTCTAGTCATTTTCTTCTGTTGTCTAGATGTTTTTCTACTATGACTGTCGAATATGCCTAAGTTATAGTTTTCTGTTCATGTTTTTTCACCAGACCACGCAGAAAAAAAACGACACTAATTTGAAAGAAAAAAGTTTGTGTGTTTATTAACACAATGGTCGGAACATTCTGTGCAACTTGAACAATAGCCGACTATCCTTGTTCTAAATTGCAGTCATTCTGCTTCATATTAATCAAATTTCTGGACTATTTCGACAAACTGAGTTTCGACAACATGCTATTTTGAAAATTCATAATGATATATAAAAATTCAAAAAAATTTTGAGCATTTTTTGTTTAGTCCTTTCATTTTGCTTAATTTAAAAAAAAAGTTTCTTAACTGATTGCAAATTTTCGAAAGAAATAAATTATTTTCTTTTTTTTTCGGGGAAAATAACTCATTGGCGTGGTTGAATTTTCAAATGAGCCTTTTTGATCTGCAAACGGGTTTGGTTAATAAGTCGCAAATACTCTTGAAAAAAAAACTAATGATGCAAAAATGTGGAAAAAATGACAGTTTTTTTAAAATATTTTTTTTTACTTTCATACATTTATGGCTTTTATTTTTGTATTGCAAGTGGTGCGAACCTCAGTTTTGCCCCTGACTCAAAATTTGCAAGGTAAAGTTGCTGAGTTGGATTCCTTTGATAAGTTTCTCGTTCTCGCTTACCAACTGTATCGAAATACCATTCAAGACAATAAATGTAAGCTGTCATCTAATTTATGCAAACTGCTAGCATTGCATTGACATCGCAATTCACAGCTCACAAAAAATGAGCGATGCTGTTTTTAGTTGGCAGGCGAGAAATCTTGCTTGCTTGCATGCCTAGACCAAAGAGCAACGAATGGAATTAGTTCTTGATTCAATGTCGACAAACTTCAGAAAACAACTGGGATCTTATTAAATATCTCCCCTTTTCAGAATTAACTAAATTCGTATAAACTATTAACTTTGATAACCGTTGAGTTCTTCTTTTTCAGGAGTTTTCTGGGTAGAATAGAGGGATAGTTAACAAGTTCCTTAAATTGTAGTTATGCTCTTAATGTTCAGTCTTCGAGACGGTCGGAACATTCGGTTACTTGCATGTCTCAGTGATACCACAAATAGTAAATTCTATTTACCTCTTAACGAGCGCCGCGTCTGAACAAATTAGAGTAAATTAATAGAAATTTATGTGGAATATGATTGTTATTTTTTTTTTCAAATTTACTCGGGGCTGACGGACAAATTTTTGTTAAAATAAATTTTTCCTCAATTTTGTATTATTTATTTAGCTGAAAAGCTGTCATTATAGCAAAGTACTATGAAATATGACTAGATAGTAATCTAGATAGGTTTTATATTGATATTTTGGATCAATTTAAATATCACCGCTCTCTCCCCTTACCCAGTTATACGTAATGAAAAAGTAATCCGCTCCTACAAATGACCAATTTTAGTACCTAATCTATGAATTCTTCTTTTGCATTGGGAGGGGGGTTGTGGGTGGTTAGTTGAATAGACCCATAATGATTAATGAAAATGAACAGTGAAGCTATTACCTTGCTGCCTCTTTCGTTGAAAATGATCTCGACATCTGTCACGGGACCAAATTGCTGAAATAAAATAAATGCTATAAGCACATTTAGTTACACTAGCAATCAGCGTAGTGGTAAAAAAATTATAACCAACAGCAGGCAGTTGGATAAGTGTAATAAATAAAGTCAAGGAAACCAAAAAATGTCTGATGTTTTAGACTTTTTTGTTCAGCTTTCGCGTTTCATTCAAAGCTTCCAAGTTAAGCTGTTTCAATTTGCGCTATTGGCTTATGTTAGGTTTTTTTGAAAAAAAAATCCCGAGATTTTTTTATAAGCAACATTTTTTTTAAAAAAATGCAAGAAAATGGGTAAAAACTTATTAATTGACAAGTTTGTACCACGTTGCTGTTTATTATTCTTAACCATTATAGGTTTGCAAAAATTTCAACTGAACTTAACTCATCAATAAATATATTTTTGACGGAAAGTTTTGATTGCGGGTCACATATGTCTCGTTTATCTATTCATTTTAACGACTCCTTGCGTTACAAATCAGAGTTTTGCAAACTGCTGAGAGTGACAGTAAAAAAAAACACGCAATATGACTTCATGAAATTGAATTTGGCAATTGATTGGCGATGTTGGTGACAAGTGTCTGGGGTCTATCTTTAGTAATAGTAATTTTTATGCTGTCTTGAGTTTCAGAAACTTAATGAAGAAACGTGAAAAAATAGTTTGATTCATTATGCATCAACACCTTGAGACTTTTTTGAGTCCTCAAAATTCACAGATATTTTTGCAAAAAAAAAAACGTTTTTGTTGAATACCGTCCTGATTCTGATTGCTTGATAATTTTGAGATCTAATCAATCAAGTAGAATATGATTGATTAATCGCAACTAAGCATCGAATCCCCCCTGCATATAGTTTGGGCGAGTAGTTAACATGATCCGGATTGTTTAGTCACAGTCTCAGCAAACAACTTTGTTCTATGCCCTTAGCGAGGCAGCTACTTCATTTAATTGCCATAATTCATTCATATCTCATAACTATGCCCTTTGTGTGGTAATATCAGGTGATCAGGTGGTATTGATTATTATCGATTGCAATGCTATCTTCCTATTTTCCACTCAGTCACATTATTTTTCCCTCTTTTCTTTGCTCCCCCTTTCATTTCCTTTTCCTCTCCTAGCTATCGATTTGTCCCTTCTTTGTTTACTTCCTCTCACTTTTTTCAATTACCATTTTTTGTAGTGCGGGTATTTTGCCTTAATCCAACGGTGCAACACGGACCTCCCGTTGAGCTCATTGCAAATATGCTGCAAAAAAACCTTACAAAAAGACCCAATCTATAGACTTTTGCTAAAATGAATCATTCGGCAAATTGATGAAAATAAAGTGTCCTTAAACACCCCAAAAATCGTAAAGAAAAAACAGTGATTATTGTTTAGCCGCCACTTTTTTCCTTGAATTTTTTAGTTTTTTTTTTGGGAAAATTTTTAATATTCGAAAAAATGAAATCGTTGTGTTAAATTAAGATATAACTAAGACAATTAATTAGGATAAATAAAATAAATAAATAAATGAATAAATTAAATTAAGATAAATAAATTATGACAAAGATTTAAATCAAGATCATCACCATGTAAAAAAAAGTATAAAAACACGTGTCCAATGGAAGAAGGCATATAAAACTGACAGCATTATCCAACTTTTTTTCACTTCGCAAGGAGATTTCCAAAGACTGTTTTCAGAGACGGGATTTGCAGAAGCTATCAAAAGACGAATTGCCAGAATTGTTTCCGGAAGAATTGAAAAACCAATTGTAAACTTTTTAACAGTCAAATGATATAATTCGAATCTTAATTCTCAAAATATCTGTTTTTTGTTCCGACTACTGGTTTTCACAGCTTAATTTAGCTCTTCCTCAAAATTCAAATTAAAATAATCTGCATTAAATTAGAAAAAGTTTTAGAAGATTTTCTTTGTTGAATTTTGAAAACAAAGACAGAGGATTAGGCATAAGCTACCAAAATCTAATTTCCAAGTTTTCGTCATACAATGTTCAAAAGACGTCATGACGAATTTGGAATACAAATTTTAGTTTTTTATTGAACTTGGTCGAAACTTTCTGTGCTATTTATTTTCTTGCGAAACTTTCTCCAATTTTCTTAGGTTTCAAGTAATTACTTTGTGATGTTAAGTAATATTTGATTTAGTATTTGATAGTTTTGCAGTTATTGTTCCGATTTTCGGATGAAGTGTGAAATACTGATGCATGTGGTTTTTTGATTAAAACAATTTCTAATTTTTTCACTGAGCGTTTTTGTAAAATTTTCTAAACCATCCGAAAGGTATTGTTGTCTTGAGCTGAATTTTTGTACCTGTGATTATTTTTCGTAAGCTCGAATTTTTTCCTGTTACCTTTTTCCGTAATTTTTCATGGGGTTTGAAAAGTTCTAATTTGGGATAAATAACAAGCGATAGATTGCGTTGTTATAAAACACGTTGAGCCCATCCTTTGTTTTTTAACATTTGGGTAGATAACATTTGGGTAGATAAAATGAAGAGAAAATTCGTTTTTTTTTTTTTTTAATTATTTCACCAATTATTCAAAACAAATTTTTTTTGAAGATTCTTAAAGTGCAGTCGGAACGATCAAGGCTTCACTCTGATATAAAAGCAGTCTTTTTGACTTTTGCTTCATTTTTTGTTTGCTGATTTGCTGTTCTGCCTATTTCCAAATTATCAAAAATTTTCTGGAACCCGGGTTGACTGAAACTTCTCATCATACAGCTTCCTTATATGAAAAACTTGAGTTCATACATTTACTTGTATCTCCAGACTATATGAAATTATATGAAATCTCTATGATGAACAATTTTTGAATTAAATATATGAAACTTGTATGACAAACATTTTTTCTTTAAGCCAAACATTGTTTTCCCAGTTTTGCTAAATATGTATGTGTTTTATCGAAAACGCAATAACCAAGACTTTCTAACATAAGAAAATCTATTGGTCAAGAGAACAAAATTGTCTAGGTAATCGGCATTTGTAGATTATGAGTGTGAGATAATGCTTCATAGTTCACTCAAATCTCTGAATAAAAACCGTGAGCTTTTTTATTTGTCAAAAATTGTCGAAAATTATGCTTTGATTTTTCTTCGACTGAATAAAGTATACCTTGCCAAATCAAACCATAAAAAATCAATGTTCGGTTCTGCAAAAAAAAAGATCATAGTCAATTTTGTTTCATTTGTATGAAAAATTTAGCCTGGACTACGTTATGATCAAAAATCACAAATTTAAGCTCGAAATTTTTTGTCTTCGAAAAATGTTCATTTGAATGATATTGCGACTAAAAGTAAACAAAACTGCTTGTATCAGTTTGAAGCCCTGAATGTTCCGACTGCCTTTTAAGGTTTATTGAGCAGCAGTAATACATAAAAAATATGAAGTGAAATAAAATAAAATGAATTTTTTTCTAAAACTTGAAATTTTTAAATAAAAATCATTCCCCCACACGCCATATAAAGTACAAAAAGATAGATTTCGTTCCTTGTAACAAATCATTATGGCAAAAAAGAATCGTTCAACCAATCTGGAACGATTTATAAGACGGATTAAATCTCGCTTACGCATTAATAGCGCCAATTATACTGCGCGTTAATTGTCCCAAATTGGTCAAAATGGCCAAAATGGCAATCTTTAAACCCTCATAACTTAAAATAGATCACGAAAATAGATCACAAGTGAAATATTTTTTCAAATTTAATTTAAGCTCAGGACAACAATACGTTTTGAATGATAAAAAAAAATCCGTCAAAAATGGCTAGTTAAAAAGTCGAAACTTGTCTGAAGAAAAAAAACCCACCCCGAGCACAAATATTCCGTTATTTTCGTATCGAAAGTCGGAATAATAAAAATTCTCGCAAGTATTTGTTACTCCAGAGTGTTCTTTTTGCAGCAAGTTAGAAATTAATTTTTGTAATTTTTAGGTATGAAAATTGAAGGATAAGCGTTTTTTCCATCTTTTCTGTGTATGGAATTGTCTGACAAGCTTTTTTCGTGTATGAATCAACCAAAACATTTTCCAACCAGCATTTTTAAATACTTTTTGTGCCTTTCAATTTTATTCAGTTTTCAAACTTTTGTACTTTCTTCACATGTACGCAAATTTTTGTGGAAATCTGTTTGTTTTCCCATTTTTTTCAATTGTGGTTTATTTTTACGACCTTTTACGACTTAACGATTTAATTTTTTCCTGATGACCTTAACCTGGTAAAATTTAACATTAGTTGGCAGATTTCAGTTTTGTCTGATTTAAAAAGATTGACCGATTATTCAAATTTCCGATCTATCATTCAAGTTTTTGCTCAATTTTTTTGTAAATGCAGCGTAACTTCATCTGCTGTTTTATGTTCAGAACTCAAGAAAAAACAATTTCATTGACAAAGCTTTCTATTTTAAATTTAGTAAATCATGGTTAATCAGTTTTACTCGAGTATCCGCAATTCTTCCCAGAAAAATCGAGCAACTCAAATTTGCCTCTGATTTGCTATAAATCACATACTTAGTTTCTGCATTTTCCTAAATACTGAAGCTCAAAGCTTCATGTACTTAACCCAGCTACCTTAAATTCCAGAACCCCTGTTACGGATTTATACTGTGTTCCATATGCTTTAACCTTACACAGTTTAACTGATAAGAAGGCATTTTGAAATTCAGCGCTGTTTACGACCTGTTTACAAAAACAATGTTGAAATCAGGCACGGTTCGAGTATTTCTGGGGCTAAAATAGGCTACAATTACTTCTAAACTAGCAGCTCAATGGTTGCAGTTTAGTGTTAGCTCCTAATTGACTGTTTTTGTTTCCAGCGCTGGGTTGCCAAGTCTAGTGAACTCTTAAAATTACTAGCCAAGTGAATTTAGCTTGACTAGTTGGCCATACCGTTTCATTAACAGCTGAACATGACGGAAGCTTGTCAATTAGGTCAAAATTTGAACAACGCGACTGTCAGTTATTCTAATTTGGCATAAAAACTTCATATTCTGCTTTTGAAAAAAGTCTTTTTTTTTTACAAACAGCTAAAAATGACTGACTCTTACTAGTGTGTGAAAATGACTCACCAACCGTGAAAAAGATGCAACCTTTGTGGGTCTTGTTTCTCTATGCTAATGAGTTCCACTTTTATTGGTGTAATAAATTATATCATAAATCAGCTAAATCGTGTTTGCATCAAAAGACTTTCGCAGTTTGTTATACTTCGAAAAGCATGTATTTTTTCCAAATTGATTGAAGTTGTAAAAGCAGGCGGTTTTAACACTTTTTCAACTTGACGCCATGCTTTATCCTTGTTTTTATAAACTTGTGTCCGATAATTGTTATAATTAAAAATCGACTATTGGTAAAAACCAAATTTTTCTGGTCGATTTGCTAATGATTCACTACATTGATCTGATATTTTAAAAAAAAAGGAAAAAAAAACATTTTTAGTATTTATTTGGCCTATGATATATCTAGTGTAACTAAGGCGATACAAGAAGGTAATCGTAATATCTGAAATTGTGCTTTAACTTCCTTACTTGCGATGAAAAAATAAATATTTTGCAAAGCACATAATTGCAAATAATTTGTTCATGACTTGCGATTAAAAATATTTAACTGGCTATTTGGTTTTATTCCAAGATAGGATTTTTTTCTGGTTAAATTTTGAAAACAAATTTATTACATTTTTGTTATTAAATTATGGGGCAGATTTAAGATTTTCTCGAGGTAAACCCTGTTTTTTTAGATATACCAAAATGATTTTCCGAGCTCTCCCAGATCACTAAAAAGACCCTATTTTGGCCCCCAAATTTGAGATGTGAATGAGTGAATTTGACTGACCCCGAACATGGTGCGCAAGTCGTTGTCTCGGAATCGGAATGGAATGTTGGACACGTGAAGTCTCTTGGGGCCTATCGTGTTTGCGTCCCCATTGCACTCCTCTGCCCCTCCCCCGCCTGTCACCCCCGAGGAGGGTGACACACTGTTTCCCCCTTTGCACGACACGTCATTGGGCTGAAACAATAAAACCCCCGTTGTCATTGTTTGTTTGAGAAATTGGAGTTTCAATAATTCAACAGATATTGCTTTCGCTTCAAAATTATTTAGGACGAAAAGTTAGAAATTTTGGTGCAATTTGTTCAACAGTTTTACTGCAGCTCATAAAGACGCGATGAACGAGAATCTTTCTAGGGTTTCAAGGAATATTTCTGAAGGCTTAGGATTTCTAGGTTTTTTGACCTAATATCACGAAGAGGCTAAACCGTCAGATGAATGGAAACAAAAATGAATACAGGTCACTTGAAAACTATTCCAAACAAATTTGTACCAGTTAAATGTTGCAATTAAACTAAAAGTTTTATTTCAGTTCATAATCAAAGGGCTTGCAAAAAGAATGTTACGAGGCAGCTGAGACAGGTGAAAAAAAATCAAATGGCGCCGTTCCAAATAATGAAGTTTTTCCTCCTTTGTAAATTAGTTTTAAAACTTGAATTAATGCTCAAACGACGGCACTTACACGACTGCCATTACACGACGGCACTTAATCTTCAGTACTGCCATTTGAGTAATCAGAACGTTTAGGCAGATCTTCTGGAAAAAGTTACTAACTTTCGAAGTTTACTCACTGTTATGGCTTTTCTAGCGTAAACTGGCTCGTATTCGGTTTCTGTTCTGGATTCTTCGGATCTTGGCAGCACCAAAACTGACATTATTTTAATCTAAATTTCTTAATTTTTTTGAAAGTTTTTGTTAGTTTCTCTTCACAGTCAGCGAAACATTTCAACTTAATCATAGGGCAAGTTTTTCTTCAGAAACTAAGAATTACAAAAATAACAAGCGAAATGGTAATTTTCCAAAAATAAACGAAAGATATTTTTTGTTGGTTTTCTATATGCGTTTATAGTTTATTAACAAAAGTAAACCAATTGAAGAACTTGACCGATACTCCAAAAAAATTCAGGAACAAATGCGTATAACTTTTCCTCTTTTTCATATTTCTCAATGGTCATACAAATTCTTTCATCTACTTGCTGTGAATTTATGGTCTAATTGTAACTTTGTTCACATCACTTAATTTATTTTTCTTTAGAACCTTCAAATTAAATGAAAATTTGAGAAAAATAAAAAGCACTGAGCAATAATTGAAAAAAAATGGGGGTTATTGAAAAATATAGTGAATAGTTCGAAATGAGCGGATAAGCCTACTGAAAAATTTATTAGGAAAACAACGCTTCTGTTATTCAATTTTAACAAACCACGCGGCTTTCCAATAGAACTGCTATAGGTGTACTCTTTTTCAGTCATCTCAAAACCTTTTTCATAACTGTTTTTATAGCTGCCGGCTTTATAAATTATTGCGTCCGTCTTTTCAACATTGATCCGCTATGTTTTCTAGGTTCATAAAAAATTCATGAATATATTATGGAGAGTATAAAAATTCAATTGATGAAAATAAGTGCTTCGCTGTATATCACTGAGGCCGTTTTCTGTTGAAACAAAAAATCCTTTAAGCTGCTTATGTCCGAAATTGAGACTTATCAATGGACCAGTTGCGACTTAAAGCACAAAAACGCACGAACATAAATAGAATTTTAAAATTCGACTGAACTCAAAGGACTATATTTATATATTGATTATACTTCAATTTTTTGCCAAGTTTAGTCTGAAAGGTTCATTCTACCAAAAGAACGTCATCACCGAAAATCTATCATGCAAAAAAAATTTGTTTCGTTTTTTTTTGTTGTTTGATCTTAATGAATTCTAGTCATGACGTTGTTCAGATAATTAAATTCTCAAACAAAACTTAGCGAAAACTTTGAAGAAAACGATTTTTAATTAGCTGTTTCTGGACAATTGACTAAATTGTAAAAACGATCTTTTTCTTAAAAACCTGATATGGGAGCCAAAAAACACGTTTTCGGTCAAAAATAAGTTGCCGTGACAAAAGATGAGGTAATAAAGATGAGGTCAAAAGATGCGGTCTTTCTGAGGTTTCTAGAGTTTTTTCAAAGGCTCGCGCAAATAAAATTTCCGCAAAACAATTCATACAGAATCTAACATCCGTTAAAGCATGGTCGTTCTGCATCTAAATTTTTGCCCGCTTGCTTTTTGCTCACGTTGTTGCTTGGTATTTCATGAAAAATAATTTCAATTTTCCAGCTAAGTCCTTTTTCCAAGCATCGTGCTCTAGTTTTTTTTTGAGCGCTTATTTTTTCAAGAACGAAATAAATGACAAAAATGGAATTCAGCCGCCCAAAACTGCTCTTCTTAAAATAAAGCTTGTTTTTATTGGAAAATCTAAAAACAAAAGCGCATACATTTCTGTTTAAACAACACAAAAGCACTTATGAATAATGTATAGAAGCTTATACAACTTGTCAAAATGGCAGCATAAAAACAAAATTGGTCGCCCTTTATTGACCATCTAAATTCATTACAATTTTTCTTTATATAAGTATCATCAATTTTTCATGAAAAAAACATGCAGAAGCTGCTTAAATTTGTCAAAACTTTTCTAATTAAAATCTGCAAAAAGTACTTCGTTTTCTACTTTTTCAAAATCAATATAAATTTAAATTGTAAATTAAATCTTTTTATACTGAAATATTTTTCTTCTATGGATCAGTCAGATATCTTTGCACTTAAAAAGGACGACGATATTCATTGTGTAATAGTTTGATAAAACCAAAAGTTTTTCCAACAATCGCCAGAAAATTTTTTTGCTATTTAAAAACAATACGGGAAAACGGTTGTCGATGACATTGAACTTAAAGAAGATCCTGAAGTGCTACCCCCCCTCCACGCTGCCTCATTTACGCCCCTGAGCAACATTCCTCTTAGTTCAAAAAAAGCTGCGCTCTTCCATGCAAAATAAGTTTCCAAGTATGCGATTTGCTCTCTCCTTGCTGGTTACTTTGAAAATTCTTTTTCATAAAATGCTTTTTTGTTATGGTTATGCTTTTATGTTGCCCTGAAAATTGAGCCGTTTGGCTTGCTTTGCTGGGGAAAATTTGATCCATTTTTTGTCACTCTGCTCCCATTTCAAAATTATAACCCACTTTTTTATTACTGCCGTAATTATCATCCATCTCCCAAGAGTTCTTTTGTACTTTCATCTTCAAATTACGGGGTTGCAATTTTTCGATAGATGTGAGAGGAAAAATTACGTGAATGAAACACAGAAGCGCCCAATAAACTAAAAATTACGCAACTGTTACGTAAAATCGAAAAATGACATCTTTTTCAAATGCTGGGGGTCTTCTTATAATCTATCCTTGGTGAATGGGATGAAACATTGTGGACCCATTGTATTTAGGTTTTCGGCTTTTTGATACAATTTTGAGCTTCGGCTCATTGCACGCGCTTAGGGATAAGATGCATTAGACAAAATGAGTTGCTTTTCTAATTCTTCTCGACTTTGATACCCTTTTGGGGTTTGAATTTCCAATCGAAATTCAAAGCACCTCATTTTAGATTAGAACATGAGTTCCATTACTGATAAAGAAAGAGAAGAATTAATGGAAATATTCAACTTTTACTTGTTTTTTTTTGTCGCATTGAAATAACTAAATGCTCTTTTTAGCAGGCGGTTTTCCTACCGCATTGTGTATTCCATTCAAACCGGAAAATGTGAATGAAAATAATAAATAAGAAATATGATAATGGTTATTACTACCAATTTTATGATGAAAATGTGGGAATTTTTTCCGCTCAAGGGAGTTCATTCGTTTTCACCTGCTCCTAAATTAGTGACCTGTTAAATTTGGGACACATTGGATGAAATAGTGCCGTAAATGTTTGGAAGTTATGACCACCCCTCCCCCATCCCCGCTTGCGAGCTGTGATTCTGAAAATAATCATTGACGCGCCAAATTTATTGACCGATGAAGTGGTATTTTTTTGGCAATCACGTCACCATAGTAACCAGCAGTTATTATAATTTTTTGTAATTGGAATAATAGAAAAGTGGATTTTTAAACGCATTTAAGTGTCATTCCGAATCAACCGTATCTGCTGTTCAGACCGAGACTTGTTTGCTGCCATAATCAAATTTTCGAAGGAAATCAATGGGTTCCCTCCCTCGCTCCGATTTGTTTATTTTCTGACTGTTTTGTTTGTCTTTTTCAGCATTGATTGAATTATTTGTGCGGAGGGGCTTTGCGAGTAAAGAGGTCGCTGCAATCACAATGAATTTCTCTAATTTTAGGCACGTTCTCTGTTGCTATGCGCCTCAGATATTTAAATAAAAAACTAAGATATCTTTGTTGCCGTTTCATTGTGAAGTGAATCTTTGGAAATAGTATACCAAGGCATTTTAAAAGTGTTTCAAGTTCAACTGCAATAATTCAAATCAAACAAGAGCTTTGCGCTTCGGGGTTTTGTTTCAGAATTTAAGTACCCCAAGAAAGCGTTTTACATATTTGAAAAATCGAGAGTTGACTGGTAAATAAGTCGAGCTTAAATGGGGGATCAATTAGAAATTGGAACACTTAGGATTAACAAGGGCGACATCAAATAGGAGTTCTCAACCGACCAAACATTTACCCATTGGTACTGGTTTCTACACTCTTAGTAACATCCATTTTGTCACAAACTCATGATCTCCATATGTATGGACTTATTAATATCCTGCTCGAAAAATTAAAAACTTTGAGACATTTTGATGAAAAAAAAAACAATTATAAACCAAATTAAAGAATCAGTGTCGGAACTTGACTAAGAAGCTTGATCTCTATGTGATATTTTGATAGCAAATGGTACTATTACTTGAGATCAAGTAGAACATCTTATATTTACTCAAGCTACAATTTCATTAAATTGTCTGTTTGTGTAACTTTTATCAAATATTTTGTCGACAGCATTTATTTCTGAAGTGATGCCTCTTTTAGTCCTACTAAGTTTAGCCATAATTCTTTTTTCTGCTGTCCAAGGTAGAGTAAAGTGTCCATACATGGCGCCTGCACATGTGTCCAGTGAACTGTTTTCGGGAAAATGGTTCCAAGTAAGGCGAGCAGAAAATCTGGCTAACGATGAGAAATGCAACACTGTAGAATACTCAATATCGAAAAATTTCAGAGGCAAGATATTTATTTTTGGTTTTATAAAAACCCGTATATTTGGTTTCAGTAGCGGAATTTGGGGGTACGTCCCTCCTTCCTCAGAGATTCGACCACCTGATTACCCAAAGGGTCCCCCCTTTGGTGTTATTTTAAGACATCCATTTTTAGCTGAAAGACCCCATATTTTGTCTACAGGGGCCTTTGAGAATGCCCCCCCCCTCGAGAAAATCATTGATCTACCCCTGCTTGTTTTGATTAATTTTCTCAAACTGTTAAAAAATTCAGAACAAGTTTTAAAAACCAATAGCTTAAAAATGGATTTTAATTATCGCAAAAATTTTGAAAAAAAAGCAAAGAAATCAGAAATTTTTTTTTTATAATTGTTTGAAGAATTAGAACATCTAGTTTTATCTAGTTGTCTCGCCTTAGGTTGGCAAGTTCTGGCAAATCAAACATTTTTGGACGGGTCTGAACAAAAAACACGTTTCGTGGCGTACAAGCAGCGTTATCAGTTAAGAAAAACGTCTCTCGGAGTTTTCGAAGATCAAAACTCGAGCCCAAAAGTTTCCAGCAGAGAAAAATTGAAGTCCCAACCTAAATTCATTATTGTTCATGTGGACAATCACTTTGCTCTGCTGTATTTTTGCAACGAAGACGAAAAGTTTGGATCACATTTTGATGCTTCTATTCTGTCACGTGAACAATTTCCTGATGTTGTGAACTTAAATCGAGTCGAACGAATTCTAACTAGCAGGGGAGTTGACGTACACATGCACGATGTGGATCAAGCCAATTGCGGCGGTTCGAATCCCGTCCGTGACAACGAAGTGAATAACAAACGAATCGAAGAGGAGTTCAACATGAAACGAGAGCAAGATAAAGTGTACCGCAATTGCTTGGCTCGTCTGGCGGCGGTTGGTGGTCTGGATTTTGATGGCATGTTATGGTGTCAAAAACTGAAAATAAATCGCTGATGATTTTACTCATTTTACAAAAAATTAATTTACAGGATTTAATCGTCTCGCAATTTTTTTCCCTAATTTTCTGTTTTACTAACCTCTGAGTTGTATTATCATGCTTGCGATTAGTAGGCTTCATCAAATCGAAGCATAATTTTTTCGATAAACAAATTGTCAAACAGAATCACTGCATCAAACTTTTTTTTATCTTCATACTGTCATCTGGGTTTTCATGTAGGCTAAAATAAAAAATACAGCCGGATTCTCTGAAACCAGCTCAGATTGCCACAAGCATAACCACTTTTCGACAAAAACAAAAAATGAAGAAAAATGAACTATTTTTTTGAATCTGTGTGAATTTCGTCGCTCATTTAAAAAAAAACGACGAGGTGGCGGATGATTAAATGTTACCTTTATTTTTGTGATATAGTGTTATTTTAAAGAAGAACGCTTAAAGAATCCATTTTAATGATTCAATCTTTGTTATGATTATTAAGAAGTTCTGTCCATTTTTTCTCGACAAAACATTTTTGAAGATTTTCTCTGCAGCTCAAGTAGCGACCCAACGTGTTTTCTTACGCTATAAAACTCGACAAAACTTCCATTTAGAAAAAAAATCTCCGAGCTTTTATGCTATCTAAAATGGATGGTTTAATCAATTTCACCAACAAATTCTCTCTGGCAAAATAGCTTTAAAAGATTGCCACTTTAGTCGTTTTATAATAATGCGTGCATACTTTCTAGTTCCTTTTCACGAAATCTGTTTATGCCTTAGAAATTTGTTTATGCCTTAATCAGTAGAACTATCAATTGTAATTTTGTTTTTCATGACATGAAATGGTCTATCATTTCAATGTTAATTTGAAACAAGACTATTTTTTTATTTCTCAACTAAATTTTATCGAAAATATTGATAAAATTCAAAACCAATAAAAAGAAATTCAAAATTAAAAAAAAAAGATTTCCTCTGTGCCCAATAATTGGTACTGTTGAAGCTAACGAACTTAGAACTTATGTTATCAACTTAGCATTTTCTTTTGTCGATACTCTGTCAACATTAAATTAGCTTGGCTAAAAATTTAGGACCTAGTGAGCTGCGACCCCACTAGCTAATGATTATAAGTTTGCTCACACTAACTGCTCATATTTTGCTCATACTAACTAAGATACCTTGGGAGTCATACCACGCTGATCTCTCTTAACTAAAAACTAAAGATGTCTTTCAATCTCTTGTTTTTGTACATGATCTCAGCTTATTTTAGGTATAGTATGCTTCTATGATTTGAGAGGTACAAAACGTACTATTCGCACATACCTACAGGGGGCGGGGGGGGGGGGACACCCTTCAGAGATTCGACCCGCTCATCAATCAAAATATCCCTCCTTGCTATTATTTTATGTCATCAATTTTATGCCGACCAACACTAAAATTTTTCTAAAGGTATCTTCGGCGTCAATATATACTAAATTCGAAGAGAAGCGCGCGCCGAAAAAAAACGCATATTTTTGGTCAATATTTTCCAAGAAGTGCTCCAAAACGGCATTTTTGACTTGCTGTTTTAAAAATTTGCATGCGGCGCATAATTTGTTCACAAAACTGGGTCTTTATAGTGTTCTGGGAGCACTCGCAACATCACATCAATTTCGTCGACCTAGAAAAATGACAAGTTGTTCAATTTTTTTTTTGAAAATCCGCCTCCCTCGAGAAAATCCTAGATCCCCTGTCTACTAACACATTGTGTGGGTCAATTAAGAAACCACAGTTCATTTTCTAAAAATTTCGGAGTCAAATGAATGCATCGCATTAACTACGCATGAATAGAAAATTACCACTTTTGTGCTGATCAATTATGCTAAGTTGACGAAATTGGCAACTTTCAAACTTTTGCAGCATCACAAAAAAAATAAATATTAAAAATTCCGTGAAAACGATTAATTAAAGATTGGCACAAATTGACTTTGGCCTGCATAAAAAACACCCCAAACGTAAGAGTTACTTCGGAACAAAAACTATCGTTTTTAATGTCAGTTGGCTTTTGGTATAGTTGCAATGTATTTTGACCCTTGTTTGAAATAACATGGTTGACCTTCACAACAGTATTTGTCTTTGTTTTAAAAAGCTTTCGTCAAAATACCACAACGTTTTGAAAATCATATTCCGTAATATTTACCTTCAAATTATACCTTTAAGTTGAAAGGTCATCATGTTTGTTTCTGAAATAGCTGTTTAGAAATTGTTCAACGATGATCAAGTTTGTTTTTTCTCTCACAGTTTTATGCCAGCTAGCGTCGGCCGGAACGAGTGAGGGAAGTTGCCCTTATGTCTCGCCTGTTCACGTCTCGGAAAAACTGTTCGCGGGTCGATGGTACGAAGTGAAACGAGCCGAGAAATTTGGAGACATGGGAGAGAAATGCAGCTATGTCGACTACCACTTTGCCAAGGACGAACAAGGCAAGTCAAGCGAGAAATAAATCAGGAAAACTAAAAACGGTAGTGAAAAAATTTTGATTCCTCTGAAAAAAAAAACGATTTCTTAGCTTTTTGGATTTTGATGGCGATTGATCAAAAACTTGAAGGAAGTAAATTATCACCAGTTTTTTTTCTTTAGGTTGGTATTTGTTCATGAATAGCACTGGATACAATGGAGTGGAGTACAAGACGACCGAGGCAGTTGCTAGGCAACCCCGCGAACTCCAGAGAACTGCTTTGGGCGCGTTCGTGGTTCAGTCCTACGGAGCTTCGAACAACAACCTGTACGTTGCTTACTTGGACAATAAATTTGCTCTCCTTTATTTTTGCTACGAAGTTGGAGTCATGAAAACGGACCTTGCTTGGATTTTGTCTCGAGAAAGGTTCCCAGACCCTCGTGTCTATCCGACCCTGGAGAGAACTCTGATGAATAAGGGTGTAATCCTACCCCTTTTTGACGTGAACCACATTGACTGTGCCGTTCCGAATGATAAAACTCAAGATTCTAATGGAGCTGTCGCGGAAACAGAAAGAGACCTCGACATCAAACGAGAAAGAGATCGATTGTTCCGAGAGTGTTTGAATCAGTTTTCAAATGGCGATTCTACGTACATGCTTTACTGTTACAGAAACTATCATGATTAAATAAACAATGTTTCATTATTCAAATGAACCATATAAAATATATCATGAAATCTAATTTAAAACAATTACTTTTAAAATCAGTAAATAAAAAAATTCAATAATTTTCATGCGCCCACGAACAAAAATAGTTGAACAAAATTTTTTTGAAAACAAGCTTTTCAAAAATTTTTCGAAATTTTGGTCAACCTTTTTAAATTTTTTCAAATCGACCATATTGTATTTCTGAGTTCTCCCAAATCGCTAGAAACACCCTGTTTTTACCAAGTTTTCTGCGCCGTAGGCAAATTTTTGAAAAAACAGACCAAAAAGCGTTTTAAGCCCTTTTTGGAAAGTGTTTTTTGGCGCGCACTCCCTCTCAAAATTATTATATATTGGCGCCAAAGGCGCCTTTAGAAAATTTTTTGGGTCAGTCAGCCAAAATTGGATATCTCAAAATAGTGCCAAGGGGGGGGGGCTATTGGTCGGCAGAGGATCGAATCCCAGAGGGGAGGAGGCGTCTGCCCCCCCCCCCCTTAAATCCGATGCTGCATACAGATGCTTAAAGCTCAGCGATGAATTATTGATATTGATAAATGTTTTTGAGCAGCACTTTTCTGTATGATGCGTAACTGAAATTTTCTGAGCTATAGTTTGGTTCAAATAGATCGTCTACTCAAAAAAAGCAAACGCGCTATGGTAAGTAGCAAAAGTTAGAACAGACAGACTTAGTTTTACCTATTTCAGAAATTTTACCTACATTATCAAAATACCTATTTCAGAAAATGTTTACAAGCAGCTTTGTCTCAGGGTCGCTTAACAATTCCGGATTTAATTCGCTGCAAACTTGGCGGATTTTTCTTTTTGGTAAATTTGTCTGCTCCAAGTTTTTGCAACTCTCAAAAAACATCAAAATGGACCAATTAAACGAAGTAAACAAACTCCCTCGCAAGTTATGATACAAAACAAAAAACAACTGACCTCTGTTTTAATTTTCTGAGCATTCATCGCTTGTTCATGAGCCGCTTGAATCAACTCGTTCGCCTGTTGTTGTTGACCCGCCAAAATTCCTGAGGTGTCGAATTGTGCCGCGGGCGACAACTTCCCGTCGGCACTTTGTCCGTTGGGCACAATAGCCGACGCTATCATGTTAGCTGCATTGTGATTGGCTACAGCTGCCAGTGCGGCCACGTGATCTATAGTGTTGCCGGCAGGTGCTCCGGTGGCTGGCGTAGTTGAAGATACCGTGGGGTCCAACAGACCGGCCTGGCTCCCATTTTGACCGTTGAGGGGAACAGTTGCAACCGGTCCCTGCAAATCAATGAACTATGTTAGCTCTTTGCAACTTCCTTTGAAAACTTTCCTTTGATATATTTTTTTGAGGAGTCTTCAAAGTTTTCTATAAAGTTTTCTTGAGTTTTTATATAAATGAAATCAGACTGTGATGAATCAAAGACGAGATTTCTACAATACCATGCTGTAAATAAGTCTAAAAAAACATGTTGGGACACTTTTCGGTTTTTTCTCGACGCTTTTTTAACTTTTTTCAAAAACTTTTTTGGAATCTGAATTAAGATTGAAAAAGTTTCAATCTCTAGTTCAACTTCAAGGTGCTTTGGGATAAACTTGAAGTTTCAAGGAAAAAAAACACCCAAGGGGACTCCGTAGTTTCTTCCATCTCTTTAAAACTGAGCGGAAAAAATATCGGTTTGAAGCTTATAAATTTTTGTCTTGAAATTTAATTGTTTATTTTGGTTTCTCAAAAATTTTCTCATTGGTCGAAGACCATTTAACCACCTTGATTGTAAGTCGTCGCTCAATTTTTTTGATTACTTTTATGTATTGGAAAACCGCCCAAAACTGTCTTTGTCTGGACGGGTTTTTTGTTGATTTGAAGGAAATTTTGGCTGATTTGTCTGAAATTTAAATTAGCTGAGCTGACATGACCGATTTGTTTGAGCTCCGGTTTTTTCCTATTTTTGAAACTTACCGTGTAAATCATTATTCACTGCTCAACTGTTTAAACTTTTTGAAACAAAATCAGAATTGAAATGATTTTCGAATTGATAATTGAGTAAATTAAATGAAGACAACAATAGAAATGTTAAATTGTTCAGAGACGAATTTTAAATATAATTTTTTGGAAGAGGCAAAACAGAAGGTTTTGAAATTTTGGCACCTGGTGATTTCTTTTGCAAAATGGCTAATTTTAGTCGTTGTGTGAACAAATACAAGATGCAAACAAGGTGCTACGGACTGAAACAAATTCGATTTGCGAAATCGGTTTTAATTCTCGATTGTCAAGCTGTGTGCAAAAGTCGTGAAAACTATGGGTTTCTTGGGTTATTAATAATTCCTGTTTGGAGCGAAAGCTTTTTTTTTTTTGGACAAACTGAGTCGAGTTATAACAAAATATGTTAAATTTTGGAAATGTTCGCGAGAAACGTCGTTCAGTTGTCAGTTTTTCGCCAAGGTTTTTGATGCTTCAGGATAAAATCAAGCAATGGAAAAAGAAAAGTGAAAAAATGGAATTAACTAGATGACGACTGTTTTTAAACTGCAGTTGTTAAGATGCAAGTTGCAGACAAAGTTGAGGTTAAGTTTTTGAGTTTTTTAAGTTTTTTGTCGAGTATTTGAGTGGATAAAATAAATTTTTGGTTGCGTTTTTGGGTGGACAGTGGGGATTTTTGGCTGTGTTTTGGGTGTGATTTAGGGTTTTGGTATTGCGTAGCGTATTGTGTTTTCGAGCAAGGGCATGCAGCAGTAATGGTTGTTTCGCAGGCAGAGTAAAAGAAAGGTAAAAGCTATATTATATCACAGTCGTCAAACACACTATACTAGAATAGATATAGCACGGCAGCAGAGCAGGCAAAACAGGAAAATAAGAGCAGGCCGGGCGGCAATGGACTGTAGCATGTGGGTAGAGAATCTAAGTGCGATCGACGAGGCAAGGCAACCACCACGATAGAACAACGCAGTTCAGAAGAGAAAAGAAAGTGAATGAAATGAAATGAAATGAAATGAATTTCAGAGGGACGACGACAACTGAGGGGAATGAATGAATGAGCGACGAGGAAAAAGAGGATAAATTATTGGGAAAAATGGTTCCCAAATTAGAGTGCAAATAACATACACCAAACGCAAGCTAGTAGAAGTATATTTGTTGAATATATATATTTAGGAACAAATATCGATTAGAATGGAAGGCTATAGGAGCAAAAGAGCGAATAGCTGGAAAAAAGAGGTAAATTTTGAGGAAAAAATGAAGATAAGTTTGGAAAAATTGATCGGCAAGAAAAACTCTGTGACGGCGCACTTTTGTGTTGGACTACAAATGGAATGAAATTGAATGGAAGGGATAACTTGCGAGGAAATTTGACTGCGCCTGTTTTCCTACTATTTTATGTTCCAAAGAAGTTCCTTTTGCTTCATTTTTTATCTTTTTTGTTAACTCATTCCTCAGATGTATATTCAAGTACATATATACTTTGAAGTCCTTTTTTCCACCTGAAATAGTACCTGTCGAAAAATCACAGAGAGTTGCAAATTATCAGCAAAACAAAGCAGCAAAGGGAATAAAACAGGAAAACAAATGTGGAAATTAGAAATTTATAAATTTCATTCCATGTTTCGGGCTACTTTCGAAGCCTCTGCTCTAAGCTATTAAGCCCAGGCAATTACGTGGAGAATACAATAAATTAAGCTTTTTGCACAGAGAAAGTATCAATGCCGAAAACTTGTATAATTTTTACTTTGCTTTTCCTTGGTATAATTTTCCAAAGGTATATTCCTTTGTGCTCAAACCGACCCCTAAACCCAGGTTAACTTTTCTCCACAGCATAATACGGAAATGAAACTGGCGCTTCGAATATTCGAACAGGATATTATAAATTATAACTCCGGCTTTTAGTTGCTTTGTGATGTCAAATGCCGGTGATCCACGGAATGCAATAAGCGTTAAGCCGAACGAAAATATATATTTGAAATATGAAGAGGTCTATAGTTTCAAAAAGGTCTGCGGTTAGATGTTAGATGCCCGAAATCTCAAAGGAGCTTAACGTGAATTTTCAGAAACCGTCGGATTTAGTTTTTTTTTGAGAAAAAAATATTTTTTCAGAATTTGTCAAATACGAATTTCAAATACGAACATTTGTCCAGACTACGAATTTTAACGCAAAGTGATATTTAGGATTCAACTCTGCTTAGAAACTATTTGTGGACTTTGACAAAGGACATTGAGCAAGTGATCATTTTTTCGGTTTTTTAATCTTTCTGATTGTTGAACATGCAGTAAATTATAACAAAGTGAACCCTTGGAGCTTAGCGCATTAGCCCTGTCCATTTTCCAATCAGGTATCTAATCGCGGAACCCATGCAGAGAATAATCCCACAGCAGCTTCCAAATCAAATTGTATCTACAGAATCTTCCAGCGGGTCTTAACCACAGCCAGAAGTTCATTTTGACCAATCAGATCTGCAACATTTTTGTTTACCGAAACAATCAATATACTCGCGTTTCAAATAATTAAAAGGAGTTTTAGTTTGCTTCTGGCTAAAATCTGTCTTTAGTCATACAAAAAGTTGAAGTTTTAGGAGTTGAAGGTTTTGGTAAATCGGTTTTTTGAGACGTCGGATTAGGGAGCTTTGCCTTCTGCTCACCTGAACTGAAAGCTTTAAATGAATTGTTCACACTCTAATGCGGATAATTCCCTGCACTAGGGCGCCTGTCGGTTCAAGCTACGTTTGTTAGCCAATTCGGCGGAGGAGTCATGTATCAAACCGACCAAGCGGAAAATCGAAAATTCCCAGATAAAATAATTGCCCATAAATTTGCGTCTGCTCCCAAAATTGGATTTTCTGGGTGTTATTAACAGCACCTGAAGACATTATTTCAACGCTGAATCTCTAAATCTGAACCAAAGTCAGAGTCAGAGTTTTCGAACGTTTGGTCGCCAAATTTTCTTATAGATTATTTTTATTTTTTACCTCCAATTTTGCCATCGGTTTCTACGCCGCAGGCAGTTTCACCAGCGTTTTTCACCAGTTTTCAGCCCCCCCCCCTCACCAAGAAAGAAAAAACTGACATGCGGACCTTTCGTGGAGATATTGTGCATGCATTTATTTGTGTATATTTTGTCGATATAACGATATAGAGAAAGGGAGAAAAACCGCTCGAAAATTTATTCTGTTTGTAAAATTCAAAGATAGTGTCAGCAAAATACCAATCTGAAACCCCAAATCGCAAGCTTCTTGATAAATCCAATTTCTTCATAAAATGAGTTTACTGCTTTTTCTTTTGCAAAACAGTTAGATGATTTCTCGGGGATGTCAAAAAAATAGCAAGAAAGAGATTGAAAATGCTGAAAAATTTTGTCCGAAACAGAATAATAGCTTCAAGATAGGCAAAAAAGAGACGGATTAATCAGTTGATTGAAAAATTTATGCTCCGAAGAAATCGCAGTTTTATATTTTTTGAAGTATTTTAAGAGTCATAAGTATTTTGAGAAAATCCTACACAAAACATCAAGAATATCAATAGCACTCTGAGATATCAAATTGTTTCATTTAATCGAAATTCACGAAAAAAATATGATAGAAAAAACTAAATGAAAAAATATTACAAAGCAAACGTTCAGATTGTTTGAAAATTTTTGCCGCAAATCATAAAATAATGAAACTTCTCGTGATCTGGATAATCAACCCTAATTTTTCCTTTGTTTAGGAGAAAACTTGCTCTTGGCATAAAAATTTTGATCAAGCAGTAGCGATCAAAGACCTAAGAGGGTTTAATAAGTCTTTTGTTATGCATTCAATTTTAGCGGACGAAGTTTTAGATTGAACAATTTCAACTGAAAAAATCACGATGGCATCAGTTACAAAATGATTAAAGCCTCTTTACCAGAAAAGCAAAAGTTTTCTATAATTGCTTTAAAATATGTCCAATTAGTGGTTATTTCCATGATTGCCAAAACTGTGAAAAGATAAATCTATTGTTTTAGAGATTATAGACCAATCAACGTGCTTACTGCATGCAGTTAACCCGGGTTGACCGAAATTTTTTATCATACAATTTCCATATATGAAAAACTTTTTACCATACAACTTCATACAATTCCATACATACAGAAAATTGTATGAAACCTCTATGATAAGCATTTTTCTATATATAAAAAATATATGACAAGTATATTTTCATAAACAAAAAGGTAGTTTTTTTTTTACTAAATTTTAGTTTCTGAAAACTTTTGCGTTGTGTTTGTAACCGAACTCAAGTCACAAAGACCTTGGTCTACTAAAAGCATAAAAGGTTGGACGATATTGCTTTTACAATGCATAGAAAACAACCTGAATTGTTTTAGAGCTGTCTTTCACAAATGATATAACAAAAGTAACAATATTTCAAATTCTAGCAACGTTTTTCAACGATAGTTATTTTTAAAATTTGAGTTTTGAATGATTAATTTTTGAACACGGCATACATAAAAAAAGCCATGGAAAAAAAACAGGAACTTTCAGCGTTTTTGAAAAAAAATACTGAGCAAAAAGGAAAATACTTCCAACATTAGTGTATCCAGGACTACGTTATGCACACAAAAATTAAATTTTGCACAAAAAATGAAAATTGTATGAAACGTGTTTTCCATCAATCCAAGATTGATTTTTTATCCTTTGTTTAATTTCTGAAAAAAAATTGGGTTGTGTTTGTAGGACCTTGGTTTACTCAAAGCACCAAAGGTTGGACGGTCGTGCATTTGCAATGCAAAGAAAACTACCTGAATTAACTTAGAGCTGTCTTACACAAATGATATAATGAAAATAATTCAATTTTAAATTATGGTAAAGTTTTTCAACGATGATGATTTTTAAAATTTGAATTTTCAAATTATCAGACATTGATCAAGGCATGCATAAACATACCATACAAAATAAAAAGGAGCTTCCCGCGTTTTTGAAAAAAGTTACTAGCGAAAAGGAAAAAATCCAACATTAGTGTATCCAGGACTACCTTATGCACACAATAAGTTAAATTTTGCATGCAAAAAAATGTCGGGGAAATGTTTGTTTGAGTACAAAATTCGATTTCGGGTTGAAAAGAAAAAACAAAAAAAAATTGGGGCAATTTCAAAACAACTTTGTGTCGCCATCAAAAAAATGCTAGTCATACAATTTCTATATATGCATATGGTTTTTTCATCACGAGACTGTTTTATTAGAATCAAACAGCCGCAGAATTTAGTTTATATCTTTTTTCAGCCATTTTTTGAAATTATACAAAAAATTGTTTGACCAGCATTTTTCCATACACTTGATGTATGGAACTGTACGACAAGAATTTTCGGTGTATGGAGGTCAACCCGGGAAGTTTTGAAAGATTTATTTTAAAATGTTAAGAAAATGTATAGCCAAAAATCGAACCGTAACATTTCAGATTTTGAAAGAAGCGCTCTTATGTGCAAGCTATACTGAAAATTAAGGAAACAAAAATCAAGGTAAAAAAACTATCTACGTTCATTTCAGTGTTCATCACGTTATAATATAGGGAAAAATGGACTTATTTTGTGTTAGAGTCAATGCTTTAATAACTTTGAAGTCATCCATCCAGTTTAAATTGACATGTGGCTTAACTCAAGGTTGTGTTCTAGGACCTTTGTTTTTTCTATTCTATACAAAAGATCTCCTTACATCATTGCAGCATAGATAGTCCTGCCTTAGGTTTTTTAGAGACCCATTGGTTCATTGATAATTGGCGACAAAGTAACAGGTAAAGTTTCGAAAAGTCTTCAATAAACTGAGAAGAAAAAACACACTTACGATATTAGTTTTCTGCAGAATTACTTAGCTAGCAATATTTTTTTTGCAAATTGAAATTTCGAGGACAATAATATGAAAAGAACATCAAAGCTGTTCCGATCACGATTTTAAATCATTCACGAATTAAAAAAGTGACCAACATCAAATGCTTTTTTTTCCGTGGACTCCTGCATTTCTCTCATTGTTTTCTCTCATTGGATTTCTGGATTTAGCAAACAATTTCCAAAAATCATTTGAGAAGACCATAATTAAGCCTTTTAATTTCCTAGCTATCAATTCACTTTTACCTAACATTTCGGTAGATAAAACTGAAATTGAAATTAGGGTTCGTCGTCCAAAGAAGATACTTTTTTAAAATTTAAATGAAAATAAATGGAACTAATTTCTTAGAAAAACTTATAATTTCGCACTCGCACGCTGCAACTAATTAATTTGAAGGTTTTTAATGTTTTTTTTCGAAGAGCTGGAAATGCTAAAAGATGTCTTGACGTGTTCTGTACTTCACTTAGTTTTGTAATGTAAAAAGATATTCGTTTTGTACTAACACATCTGAACGATTTCGAGCGCAAGTTCAATTTCATGACATAGCGAGGCTTACCGACCCGGGTCGAGGTCAGCGATTGAAGAAAAGACCAATGCGATCCAAATTTGGCAATTGCAGACCGGCGTGACCGATACTTGGCTATTGAAGACCGACGCGACTGAAAAAAAAACACTGCGACCTGCGCGTCTCAAAAAACTGTCGGGACCGGCACGACCTAAGGTAATGGCGCGAGCGGCGCGACTGAAAATTTTCATTCCCGGACCGGCGCGACTGAGATTTAACCCGCGTCTTTCATTAAGTTGCGTCGCTTAAGTCTTTTCTTAAGTCGCGCTGAGAAACTTTTCCTAGGTCGCGGGGTAATTTTTTTCGTAAAACGCGCCGCTTAAGTATTTTCTTAAGTCGCGCCGCTAGCCTTTCTTAATGCGCAGTCGGTCTTTTCGTTAAGTTTTATCTTAAGTCGCGCCTTCGGTATTTTATTCAGTCGCATCGTCAGTCTTTTTGTTAAGAACAACATTAAGAACAAC